TTGCACATGCCTGCAGGAGTGCAACAGGAGCTGCAAAGACCGCCTTGGGTCTCCAAAACCTACCATATGAGCTGCCCAATGGTCGGCGCAAATGTCAGATTCAACCGCTACGGCAGTGGTCCTTGAACTGTCTCGATAAGCGTGTGGCGACATTCCTCCTTCTACTAAGCCCACGTTGATGACAAAATACGACACGATACTTGTGGTTTCTGGCATGAGTCGCTGGGTTATCTTGGAGCCGGCATAATGCCTTTCCCAGTGTTTCTTTGAAATGGGTTGAGGCTCAAGTGAAGAACACATTATGGTATTTTTTGACCGGCATATTTACTTGATGCGGGTTCCTGCAAAGAATGTCACTCCTGTTCTGAATCAGGAGCGTCTAAAGATCGTTTTTTACTCGTCCCGATGTTTAAGGGAAGCTACATATAAAGGTGCCAGCCAACGCTGGCAGATCTAGATAGAGAACAACATGTGGTTAAAAAAAAAAAAATACTAATGTATTGAGTAATCCCTAATTTCCCAGCAACGAAGAAAAACAATAAGCCATCGAGGTACGGATGCATTTACTGGTACGTGTGGTTGCCTACCCTTGTTTGGAGGCAGGACTATGCCCTCCTACTCACTGGCAGATTTGGAAATCATGGGTCGGGATGTACGTACCAATGTCACGTACTCACGTATCTCCCGAGCATCCAGAATCCTTCGGACGCACACGCCGCCCCTACCAAGGCAAGCTAGGGTAGGATTGCAAGGACTGTGGGCTCAGATACGTATTTCGGGCCCCCTCTTCTCTTTCGTCTGTTTCCTTCTCTGTAAAACTGTTCCGTCACTCCTCAACCACAGCCGACAGTCTAGCCCAGCCCACCAGCTAAAGAACACCCCTCCAGCTGTTTCTCATTCACACACCCCTCTCCAGCCCGTTGCACCATCCATTGTGGCTGGCCCCGTTTGGCAAGTTGCTGTCACTTGCTTCAATCGAATCCACTTCGACTCGGTAAAATCAATGTGCTTCAAAGCCGCCCTCACTGGGGTTTGCTACAACCCTCAGCTAGAGTTATTAGGTGCAGCACCTCGCTGCTTTCTTTTTCTTCCCCTCATATATTCTATGACACCTTCCTCGCACCGTCACAATTACGGCCCACGCCGAGGTTCGTGGGAAGAGGGAGAGGAGGGGAGTACATCGTAAAGTTCCACAACACCCCTCATCCATGAATAGGAACATGCTCCATCTCACGGCATGGTAAAACTGCACGGTTTGAGCTACCAATGCATAGCACCGAGCAGTACATTGCGAGTTGGTCGCTCAGTGTTTCCTTCACAGTGCCATACCTGATGACTGGTGGACTATCTTGGTCGATGTGCTCTTGCCCCCAAGATCGGGTACACACACTCGCACCATGGACCCTAGCGACCGTTGGTTGAGGTCTGTGTGCAGGAGACCAAAAGAATTTAGGGCTATTGGCTACTCATAGATGGTTTTGAGCTTACATATCTCCGGCTCTGCACGGTGAAAGCAACTGCCGTATTTGGGCCAAAGTTCCTGAGACAAGACGAGGCGAGATGGGGAAAGCCCGAGAAGCGGCCTACATCCAGGGAGGTTGGGTTTCTTCGCTTCGCCTTGGTTCACTAACAAGGCTGTTCGCATTCAAGTCGTCCCAACTCTCAGGCGCAGATCCAGCTACAATAGCAACTGCTGGTAGAAGCTGTTGATAGAGGCATGTGCGAACATGCGAGGGCTCTTGACTGTGAAGCGATCCCGAGTGGCACCCAACCCTTGATGATGCAGCAAAAATCCCCGCCCAACCATATTATGATGGTGAACAGATTCGGGTTGACTCACCAGTCGTTCAACCAGTCATGCACGTCTTACACTCCGAGACCGATGAGCGGTCAAAGTAGACATACAACGCTTTTCTTCTGTTTCCGGTCCAGCCATTTCCCTTTCCTCCTTTGTAAAGGGGGTACAGGTAGCGACAAGCAAGGTACGGATAGCGGACATGCTATTTTCCAGCATTTGGATTTAGCATGGGAACACTGAACATGTCATCTCAGCTCTTTTGTATCGACTTTTGGCCCCTGTATATTTCTTCTTCTCTTCCGAAACTACTCTCTTCTTGCCTATCCTCGTGGTGCTGTCGACTTGCTGTCAGGATCGACCCTGCATTCCTAGGCGAACTCTACCTGCAGACTTCTGAATCTGTACGCTTCATTGATCCAAGGCGCCAGGCCATCCCTGTTGGATCCAAATGTTGACCTACCATACACCATCGATACAGGATATTGCACGCGCACATACATGCCGCATAGCAGTTTCTCAACGACACCCCCTCAACAAGCAGATACCCACCTCGGTGGTCTTGGGCGGCTAAGCTGTCTCCTCTCACGGCCTACAGAAACTCTTAGCGGACTGTGATTCTGTAGTGATCAGGCAATGATGCTGCAAGCCAAGAGAGGAGTTACGGGAAATAATGGACGGATTAGAGATGAGGACGGACTGCAAAGTCTAGCTGAGGTGCGTTGTTTGGGACGTGCCAGGCGACACGGTTACAGCATCATGGATCACGGTTCTAGTAGGATTCCTTATGACCGTTAAGAGATATCGGGAGTAAGATCCAATCCGTCTACCAACCCAGGGTTCCCTAACCATACTTTGGACAGCTTGCCAGCTCACCCTCCTGGCTTTCTCCGGCGTTGTGTTGCTCTGTTCTTTCTGGTGAGCGCTGTATGTATTGTGTCAATAAGCGTGGCTTGCGGCTTGCGGCTTGCCACAATGGTCTCTTCTTGCGGCATCTCCGTTGTCGGCTTGGCGTTCTGAGGATTGGACATGGATGGATCTCAGCCCTCCACTCAGATTCATTGGATTCCCTCCCGCGCAGCTCGTGTCAAGGATCTCCGTATGCATTGTTCTTGCGATCTCCGCATCATGTACGGATAGACGGTGGTTAGGGCAAGACGGACGACGTAGTTGTGAGCCCGGTTGTGGTACAAAGGGAACAGCAACATGATTAGGTGTGGATTTTATAAGATGGATTGCTGCTGCTGCTGCTGCCCTTGGACCATATTTGAGGTTCATTTTTATTTTTCGTTCTATTCAACTCCCCAAAGTCAGTTGTATTGGTGTATAACGAACCGTTCATTCCCTGCCTCGTTGCATTTAGCCCCCAATCTGATTTCTTCCCCCAGTGACGATTGTGTGTCCGCCTTCTCTTTCCCGTCCTGGCCGAAAAAATAAAAGAGGAGCCGGCGTCCCGATAGCGATTAGCGGCCTTCGCCACAGTTACCACATTCACCCTTCCTTTCCGTGGGTATCGGGGAGGCGTCTTGTGGGTGTTCTGCACGCCCAGGTCATGCAAACACGCACCCCCTGTGCTCATCCCCCTCCAAGTGTCATCTCTTCTGATACGCGCTGGTTGTAAATGAAATAAACCAGGCTCAGGCTCACTGTCATTCTCCACTACGGGCAACGCACCTCGACCATCCTGCACCAACCTTTTTGCCTGGACCCTACCGTAAACGACTGTGCCATTGTTATTTCTCTCTCCTCCTAGCCCTTTTTATCTTTTATTCATTGGGGCTTTCCTCGGGTCTTCTACCCGCTGTGCATATCGGTTGGACGAGGTTTCGTCAAGGAGCTTGACATTGGGTGGTTCGTCTCGTTTCCCGTGTCTCCATCCAACACCCGCACCCCTCCCCTTCCTGTCCCATTGATGCCGGGGTTCCTTGGGAAAGGGAAATAACGAGAGAAATAAGTAGAGGGAAGGGAATAGGAAAAAATAAAAACATCACGCCGTGCCTCCCACACCCACATGCACACGCACGCGCACGCGCGCGCACACACACACACACACACATCTGTTCACTGTGCACATATAGCACACACCCCCCGTCGATCCTCTTCCCGCTCCTAGGTTACGGGTCCCAGAAAGAAGAGAAGCCGTGTCAACCCATCCCAAATTTCCTTCGCTGACCCTCCGCTCCTCCTCCTCCTAACAGGCCCCCTAACACCAAGATCACATTTCCGTATACCTACAGAGACACCTCTCTCCGTACCTGGACCAGTGCCCAATCGTCAAGGCCCCAGAAACGTCTGAGAAGCCAAGGAGAGTCTAGAGTGAGGCCCCAGATATCCAGTGCCAGCCGGGTCTGGCCCTGTCCATCCTGGACCTTAGCCCCATCTCCATCGGCCTTCCTTTACCAACCTAGGAAGTCTTGTACTGGTGGTCTACCCGTTCATTCAACTCATTCTCGCTGTCCCTGACGGCATAGGCATTTCACCTACCTGCGTCGACGGCACTAAATTCAAAGTCTCCATGGCTAAATGAGGTTGGGCCCCGTTCGTGGAGAGGTTTCATCACCGTACACCCCGCCCGTCTCTATCACCACTACTTTGCCTTACTTCGTACCTCCCACTTTACCTTACTTGCCTCTTTCTTCCCTAGCTTCGCTCGTCGCCTTCCTTGCCTTACGGATACAGCGCCAGCCTAGGCCAGCCCAGCCCAGATACGTATCTCTCTCTTCTATCCACTTCAGAGAGATGTACCTTCCCTGCACCAGGTAGCTAAGGTAAGCAAGCCGGGCTACGGTTGCCAAGGTACACTCACACCTCAGAGTACCGTTCCATTCCTTAGTTCCCAACCTGGGCCGCCCTCTCCAGCTTGCACCTGTAAAAGGTTATTTCCACCACTTGCACCCCCATATCTCGATTTGTCTTTCTTACTTACCTCACCTCACCTCAACTTACTTTACCTCCTTCTACCTTCAACTCCTCTCTTCCTTCCTCCCATCTGTCTGGCCAGCCAGCATCTTTTGTTTACTTCTCGACCTTCATTACCTCTCCCCTTTGTCATCTTTTTTTTTTTTTTCCCTTCTCCCTTTCCCTTCAGTGGCAAAACACAAACACACACAACACGCCTATCTTCCTTTTCCATCGACATCGGCCTCCCATGCTGCCGGCTTTTGCTCTACTCTAACTCATAGTCATCTGGAGCACTTGAGTATACATGACCATGCTCACAGTCAAGCAGCCAACACACTACGGCTACAAGTCCGTCCATGACCTACCAACTCCGCCTTCAACATCCCGACCTTCGCCTCCTCTGTCTTACCAAGACCATCCTTCTCATAAGCTGCTGCCGTCCATCCCCCGCAGTCACAGTCCACCTGGTCAGCCCATGTCCGCGCATCACCGTGGCCTGCCCCCGCCGGCAGCTATGACTCTACCGCCTCAGCCATCTCATCCAACCCAGGCTCCTCCTCCACCTCCTCCCGCGCCTCAGCCCATCAGTCAGCCGCCTTCCGCCCACAGCCATGTTATGGGTCAGCTGCCGGGCCCCCCACCTCAGTGGCAGGGCGCCGAAGATTCCATGAGAAGTTGGTTGGCCGCAAAGACTGAGGAAGAGCGCAGAAGGCAGGAGGAAGAGAAGACGAGGCAGGAATCTCTGCGCCTCGAGCAACGACGAATAGAGGCTGACATGTTGAGAACATCATTGACCGGCGGAATCCCGCCCCCAATCGTGCCGCTTGTCTTTGCCGGTATGGGCGGTGGTGTCTTGCCTCCAGCAGCTTTGGAATGGGCGCAGCAGTTCCTCAACCCTCACGGTCAAGGTCAACACCCGCAGTTGCTTTCTTCCCAGGGCCCTCTGTCTCCTGATCATCGTCGTGATTCTCAGTCGCATTCTTACGGGCAGTATCCCGGCATTCCCTCGACACCGAGCTCGGCCCCTGGCCCTCATGGCTTTACAGGATACCCATCTTCTCCGGGAACACGGGGTAGGGCAACAACTTTGTCTTCGACAGGCTCAGTATCTCGGCCACTCGGATCATCGAACCTGCCTAGCTTGAATACGAATGTACCCCAGTCTGCTGCACAAGGCGCCTCAACTTTGCAGAGCCACCAATCCCATTCGACTGCGCAGTCTGCATCTACACAGCAGGAGGCTCAACCTAGCCCGTCCATTTACTTCCATCATTGGCATCCGCCAACGTCCCAAGCCGGAGGTGGCTCCACCCAGCCTGCGACCCCCTCCGGTGCGTCCAGCAAGACCAAAAGAAAGCGAGAGTCGCTTTAGGCTAACCTTGGCTGGTGTGGCCTTTAGGGGAGTCTCCTAGGAACAAGCGCAAGGCTACCGGCCCGCAGCTAGCCGCTCCACCCCCTAGTCAGCAACGACTGAGGTCGCCTCCCTTTCATAGTGGATCAACCCTCGGAAATCCTCCACCGGGACGACGAGGGCATTCGCGACAACGAAGCGATCTTTCATCATACCGGCCGGCGGGTCGAGGTCGGGGAGAGAGTTTTGGGACGCCTCGAGGCGTGTCTCCGCAAATCAGCAGCTCCGGTACTGGGCCGGATCATGGTTGTGGCGATGCGACATCTAGCCAACAACAAGCGGCAAGAAGTGTTGGCGGACATTCCGTCTCATCCTTGCTCTCTGAAGAACCATGAAGACCTACACCATGTGGTTCGACTTGCTAGAGATCTATCAAGAGCACGGTGAGCATAACACAGCTTCGAGGCATGGACGCGTGGAGCCGCAGGATCAGGAGCCACACGACAAGGCAACACACTGATTGAGATCTGGTCTGGTCCAATTTTACGACTTGTTTCAGCCATACCATCACGGCGAAATTTCGCGAAACGAGATGCATGAGTACGACAATTTCTTCCGAATTTTCGCTTCTACGGGATCAATTCCGCCTTTCTTTTTTCTTCTTTTTTTTTCCCCCCTTCTTGCCGCGAAACTCTTCCTTCCTGAACCTAAGAACGGGGACAGAGGAGGGCGAGCATTGACGCTTTGAACTCGGTTCGACACTTCGATTTTTTAGAGACTTGGATTTCTCTCAATTCTTTCAACGCCATTCCAGGGGATCTGGAACTGGGGGTGCGCACTTTACCTTCTTCATTTTCTTCTTCATAAGGCATGCACGGGTCACGGCAACTTTATTTCGATTCTTTCCAGCGGGCGGCATGGTCACAAACGACGGGCCCTTAGTTTCTTTTTATCGGGAACTTTTCTTCGCTTCACTTCTTTCTGCACCTGGTGTATTGATGTGTATTGTCAACACGGCATTATGTCGGGGTGTACCTATAGCAGTCGGTGATGGTGAATCATCAACGGCCGATCAAAAAGGACCTGCAGCTGAGGCTTATCAGGGGCTTGGTGAGGCCGTTGAAGCTCAGGTTGGAGTTTTACTTCATGGATCTTTTTATGCTTCTTTTCTACTACTTCTGGTTTTGGGAACTTTGATTGAATTCTTCACTCTTCTTGGTTCTTTCCATTTAGGGCCTGATATATTTTTTTGGGGGCAATCTTACATGTATCATGATACCCTGCAGAAAAAAACAAGACAAGACGCATTTTGCAGATGGACAGACGTGTTTCAACCCCTTGACGATTGATACCTTATCTCGCTTGTTTGATTATCGCCCTATGAGGGGTATTCGTGAGCGGACGGGCTAGGAACTTGAGTAATTAGCGACGTGGAATTACCCCTCCTCCACCCCCCCAAAAAATCCTGGCCAGAAGCGGGAGACTAAGTCCCTCACTCGTGGGCTTGACGAGACTTCTGGTCCTTGGCCGATCTGGGCTAGACAGCGCGGGCAGACCATGAAGATGCCGTATAGCGAGCTGAATTAAGCTCAGCGGTGAAATTAGCATCTCCAGTCTCAGCCTCGGTGATGGCGCGGTGGTAAGGATGCAGTGGAACCGGCTGACTGTCCGTTCCTCCCGCGCCGCCGTCCGTCCGCACGTTGCTCGCCCGTTGCCCGGCGTCCGGACGTTGATGTCCCTGGGTGCGGTAATAAACATCTGCACTACACATTTAGCCAGATGCGGCCGACATTGAGACGTGAATGGGAGGGTGCGGGCCGGTTTGAGGACAGTGCGTTTTGTGTGAGAGGGTGCCGTCGCACTGGGCGCTTAGCCCACCTTCTAGGATAGCTCTGAAAGGGGGGTGACGCGACATTGGGTTGACAAACAGGCCAGGAACGTCGGATAGCGCACGCGGAAAGAGGCAGGAAGCATAAGCAATGTGACTTTTTGCTGATTCAGTCCGAAACGATGGCAGATTCCCTCCTCTGCAACGGCCAGCCGTCGACCCTGACGCAGTTCAATTAATGTCCGTGGTGGATTTTGTTCTTCAATTTTTTTTTTCCCCAACTTGTTTTGACACGCTGAAAACCTTGGCTGATGTGAATGTATGTGTACCATTACTTAATCTTAGGAACTCTTTCCTATTTAGGAATTTCCGTCCAAGATGAATGGGAATCTGTAATCCCGTCCTTGGACCCGGGATGTTCCTCTTAATTCCTTGTTTTTTTTTTTAACGGTGCTTGTCTTGCTGCCCTCTTTTGATTGGTCATTGCCCGACGTGTTTACTGCATGCATGTACGACATGGTGGAGGTCAAGGTATCATCAAGTAAAATAGTTGCAGCCGGCAGTAGCGTAGCGGTAGCAAACAGCCAACAGGAAGACGACCAAATAGGCCAAGAAATAGGGACTCTCTTGGAAGGGGGTCCAATTTTTAGTTTTTTCCTCTTCCCCTCTTACGAATTTGTTGGTGCCACCACCACGCGAAGAGTACGGATTTGGCGAATCAGTAATTAAACGATTGACCCAGAGCGGCTGGTTGGGCATGTCTTAACTGTCAGCCAAATATAGGGCTGGGGCTGGCAGGGACAACGACACGAGAGAAAAGGCAAGAGGACCGGCCGGAGGAAGGAAGAGGGGGGACGCACGGATGGCAGATGCCAACCAAGGACGGACGGGTGGTCGGTCCATTGTAAGCTTTGGGGTTGGTTGAGTTGAGTTTGAGCTGTTTTTTTTCCCTTAATTGTAGTTATTTCTGTTTTGGCAGTGGGGATGTGGGGGTGGGGTGGATGATGGGTGTGCCAAAACAGGATGAGAAACTGGGAAGCAGCAGCCAGAGAAGCATGGGCCAGCCTAGCTAGCCAGATGAGAATAACAAGCCCCCCTAACTAACTAACTGCTCGGGGGGTAAGAGAGGTCGTCGTGAATGAGAGCGCTTGGGGCGTCTGTGCGCGAGGCGCTTAAGGTGGCGTGTAACAAACGGTATAAGCCATCCAATCCCTCCCTGTGGACTTAATTTTCTTTTCGATTTGATGCCATTTTGGCTTTTATGATTTATCGGTTCATTTTCTGTCGAGGTTGAAAGGGCTTCTTGGCGTTCGAAAGGGGCTTGTCATGGCTGAAGACATTAGGAGCTCACAAGCGAATGAGGACGGGATGGGGATGGTTGTACCGAGAATAGAGCCCAGCTTACGATTCAACGGCACGTCATCCTAGCAGCAGTTGCTATTCTTACCTAACTAGCAACTACCGTCCCCCCCGCTCTTTCTCCTCCTCTCACCTCCAAACGCCCCTCCCCTTCTTCTGGTGCTCGTAGGTGGCTTATTGGCGACGATGCTAGATGCCTTCGGGGCCGGGGCCGTAGACTCAAACCCGCTGACGTGGCTGACAGGCTTGTCGCTGTGCACGGTGCATAGCGCCGGCTGGCACCTTTCGTGTCTGTGGCGCTTCCTGAACTTATGGCCGGTTCCATGAGAAGAGTATCGGAGATTGTAATACAATCCCGGATTGAAAACTTCTGGCCTGCATGGGGCCCTTGGCGTACATATCCTCGTTGGGGGAGGGGGGGTTCGGACAAAAAGGTCGATTTGGGGAGTATGAACTGCAGCAGACCAAGATTAGCACGCGCCAAATCCATCCCTGTTCGCGCTGTTCCCATGATATCCAAGGGAGTTTGAGCCGTGTACCAGTCAGAAACCGTTGGGGCTTCTCTCCGACTGCTGTCCTTGTGGGTGTGGTTTGAAAATAAAAGGGGCAACCTAAGCACTCGGCATACTGAATGTAGCTTACGATTGAGGAACAGGCGATGTCACCATCGTCTCCGGCCGCGTGTGGTGTGCCGAGTCTCACAGGACGCCCAGCGTTGGAACTGAGACGGTTTGGCATGCCTCCATTGTCTGTCTGTCTTTCTTGCTCTCGATGGAGACGTTGGCTACTTTCACTCCCATTTCAACAAGTAGACTCTCGACCGTGACTCCCAGTGGTTGCAGCTTGGCAGTTGGCTTTTTGTACTTGCAATGCAGGCCGATGCCGTCTCGGCGGTCATTGTCGTAAGACGCCCGCCGTTGTGGCTTGTATTACCTATGCAAGATCTGACGGGGAAGTCCGCACGTCAGAACGTAAGAGGACTAAAACAGCATTCATTCAGTCGGCCAAAGGAGAGGGCAAAAATAAGGCTACATCAAGGAAATGGAGCTGGTACGTTAGCGGTTCACTCAGATAGATATTTGTCAAAAGCAGTTCCATCAGCGGCACTCTGTCCCAGTTACGCTATCACTGATAGGTACCCCTTTAACCACTCGCCATTTGCCGGAATATGAGTATCGTGCTGAAAGCTAAGCGAAAGCATTTCTTCGGCCCGAGTAATCCACTAACAAACTAGATAACAAGGTCTGTTTGATCACAATCAATGTCACTTACACCCGCCTGCGACCTGACGGAGAAAAAGCAAAACACGGCAGACACAAGGAGATTCACAAGGGAGACAGGAACTCGCGTGTGGTTATGCTCAACAAAGAAAAAAGGAAAGGACTTTAGATCGTTATAAACCCATAGCAGATAAATACCTCCAGAGCCGGGGATGCTCCTGGGTTACCGTGCCGGTGTTTTGACTGGAGCTATACTTCCGGCTACGCGTGTGAATCAGCATACGGGCCCTTTCAAACTTGCAGCTTTGATGTCTGGCACTAGCGTTAGATATCATAGATTCCCACCCGGCGGTTCTTCTCCGCCCAAGTAGGTGTAACGTTGTAATGCAGAACGATGTATCGTGTCACGGGTTGCCAACTTTTGACGAAAATATTTAGAAATATTCCACCATGTTACACGTGAATTCCAAGATTTCCAAAATATAGCGGTGCATAAAATTTGTCCTACTGAAACCCAACATACCTGCTTCTGTCAGAGACGCATAGGCTAGCCTCATAATCTAACAATCACTACCGCGAACATTGCAGCAATACCCCGGACTGCGTGCGTCGGTCTCCCTACTTGTATTTATGGCATCTCGGTCTTTTGACCACTAAGCTCCCCAGGTACGCCCAACCCTCGTCGGCCTCCCTCCATATGAAAACACCTCCAAGTAAGAACCCAAGATCCGAAGTCAAGTTGATGAGATATCCCACGAGGAAAAAGGCTTATCACGAGTACCAAGAACCTTTTTACCTGGCGCGAGACACCTTTCCTCAGGATTAGGAAACTCACAGCTACTTACACACAAGTGGTGGGTCTGATAAGGCCGACGGCGACGTGGGCCTCATGGCGACAGACCAAGACAAGTTGCAACCATCCGAAGCTGGCACTGCCCTAGCAGGAACAGATTCATTTCCATTATATTCAACATGGCTGGAGAATCGTACCAACCTTGAGTTTGGTGGCATCAGTTTGTTTGTATCACTCCCAGTACCCGCAATTGAACAGCACATGGACGAACAATATTCAAAGGTACAGCCGCTTGGGCTTCCAATTTAGGGACTTCGCTTCCCGAATACATGGGCAATTGGCTAGAACTGCGATATTAAACTCTAGATTGGTTGAATAAGACATTATACATTGTTGTAAACACTTCTGGAGAATGCACCAAAAAAAGCATACTAATCGCATAGGGGTATATGAAAAGTCGTGCTGTAGCCCACTTCCTGCTAATCGCTTTTGATCCTGCGTTCCGCTGCCAATGCCTCCAAGGCAAAATTCCAGTCCGTCGTATGGGATACAAATGAGATCCTCCATGTCTGAAGAGACCAAGGGCTCTCAACTTCCTAGGGTATTGGTCGACCAGTGTGTCGATGTCAACATTTATCAACTCCACAAACTCCTTGCATGTCGTTGAAACAGGAATGAAAGACAAAGGAAATGAATACTGAACACCAACACATATCTTTTTTTTTTTAAGACGTGGGTGGCAGATGCAAACCTTGCTAAAACTTCTTCTTCTGCCGGGACTTCCACTCCGCCCGCGTAACCTTCATCAGAAGGTCCTCATCCTTCACAGGAATCCAGGAGGTCAGCGCCTTCATGGCGTTCTCAAAATCAGAATCCAAAAGGATTTCTCGCAGCGCATGAATTAGGGCTGCGCTGGTGGCATGCAAGACGTCGATGCCATTCATTGTGATTGGCGAGTCGGTTGCTTTTGTGGCTACCGTCTGGGAGTTGTCGCTGAGAAGGAGGAATATGTCCCATACTCGAAGCTGGGCAGCAAATGGTATGGATAAATTGAAAAGTGTCAAGTACCATCGAGTACCATATGCGGTTGGGTCGATGCAGAGCTCGATCTGAAGTAAGTCAGCACCGCGTGCGCGAGTGATTAGTGCATAGTCATATCTTACCAGCTTTTTGGCAACATCTTTTCCATCCAGCCACTTTGTCTGCAAGTCGTTCAGAGCCGCCATCAACCCGTCAAAGCCGGGGCTGTACAGCTTTTCTAGTCCACGCAGCTGCCACATGCGCACTAACATCACAAAGCACTTCTCCTCGTCGAAGTAGCAAAGCAAAGTCGCCGCCAATGAGGCCATACCCTGAACATAGCCGGTATTCGGGAAATAGAGCGAAAGTGCATGCAAAACCCGGAAGAGCAGTCGTTGACCACCTTGGTAGCGTTTTCTGAACATGACATGCCTGCTGATGGTGCGAGGAACGTCCAGGTCGATTTGTACGTCATCTGGCGAGCCTCTGCTTTGGAGTCTGTGAAAGTCGGTGATGATGGAGTCTTCTGACGGAGAATCTTTGTGAGCTCTTGCGGCTGATGCCATGAATGAATACCAGGCGGAGGCCCTCCAACAGTCGGGAATGCCCTTCCACGTTCTGTCAATAAGTTTTTGGTTCTTGACATCGAATTCAAACTCCATGCCTTCTCCATCCTTCCCCTTCTTGATGACCTTGGCCATCTTCCGCCACTTCTCGGACCTTTCCCACTCTTTTCGTTTGATGGCCTCCGATATCTTTTCAATCTTCTCTTCTTCACCAATAGCTAGGGAGAGCATCTCTCCCGCATCGTCCATCCATCGTCGATCACGATTGTGGGGGAGCAGGTTACCCGCTTGCCGGATTGCTGAGCGGGTCGACCGACGAGATGCGACCGATGCTTTTGAGGTCTGGGTATTCAGAGATCTGGCGGACAAGTTTCTACCTGATCCTCTGAGCGGCAGTCCCAGAGCGAAGGAATCTCTCTTCAAAGCGAGGTTCCTCTTCCTAGGAGCAAACTGTGCCGATTTTAGGTCGGCGTGGGTCCCCACGTTCGACTCCAGTTTGCGTGGGTTTATAAAACCGTACCGATCGACATCGTACCCGTTGAGATCCTCCCAGTCTTCGAAACCGCCTGCCACCTCATACTCGCTTCTTGTTTCGGGACGCTGGGAATAGGAGCTTCCAGATCTTGGGGTGGCCCATGCAGGACGTTGGAGTTCGGCGACGCTACAAGGAGAAGACCGACGTTAGTACATTGATTCAGATATATGAAAATGGGCGAAAAGGAAACCATACGGATCATTCTCGGCCTCATCTGTCAGGTTTTCGGAAGTTGGTTCCAAACGTTCACCGACGTCCGATGGCCTTCCTCCGTCTTCCCAATTGATGCTATCGCCAGATGCATAGAGCGATCTCACCTTTCGAGATTCCATCTCAACGTCCGCAGATAGGACGCGAATACTGGGTGTGGCCATTGCGGTTTGTGACGCAGACTCTGCGACGGTCTCTGCTGCGCTTGCTTCGGTTGTGACCGACTTGGTTGTTGTCTTGGGTGCACTCTCATCGGTTGCACTTTCAATGGTCGCACTAACCCTGGTCGCGCTGGGCTCCGTTGTTGGGCCCCCGTTCGAAGTGGCCTCGCTCATGCTGGCGGCGGTGCTCTGGAGTGGCTCCTCGTATTGAATGTGGAGGATAGGAGGCGCAGGCTTTGATGCAGGAGTCGGGGCTGATGCAGGCGCGGGCGCCTCAGCATCATTCGTTTGCGACTGATCTTCCATTGTTCCGTCGGTTGTTTGTGCGGGGAAAGCGCGACGGCCGCCAAACATAAGACTGCCACGATTGGAGAAAGTGAGAGTCGTCAGGAAATCATCGTCAAGGAGACTGACGGTGGGGATGGAGATTGATATGGGGGAGAAGTCGGCGACATCCTTGCTCAGGAGGTCGTCTTCGAGGATGTTGACAGGGGAGAGATTAGGCGACTTATCGAAGGCTGTAAAGGAGCCCCGCGCTGGGGTTACCATTGGCCCCGCTGCAGGTGCCAGGTCGCTTAAACGCTTGTCCCGCAACTCAACCGGCGAATCCACCGATAAGGTGCTGCTGAAGCTGCCAGACGACTTGCCGTCGGCGAGTTGAAGCTGTGCAATGTGATAATGGTCCATGGCAATGGACTGCTGACCAGTTTCTGGCGTGCATAGACCAGAGGCTTGTTCTCTCGTGGCCGGCTCGTTGGTGGAATATACGGACTCGCTGTCACAGATAAATGGTGTCACCAGCTGCTGCGATTGTTGCACAACGTCGCCGACAACGATCACGGTCTCGACCTTGTCGTATCTGTAGTCCTCGCCCTCGCACTCCTCTACTATTGTGGTAGATGACGAAGTAGTAGGCGCGAGTCCAGAGTCCCTTTTCCAATCGTTTGCTGCGCTGTCGCCGGCGTGCACACGGGAGCGAAAGGCAGGGTGTTGTTCAATGGCGGGAGGAGGAATAACGACCACAGGACTGGAGGGCTGACTTGTAAAAGATGAAGTTGCAGAAGTAGAAGTGCGACGCGTCGAGACTGAGGGGGATCTCGGGGGAAGGCGCGTAAGAATAGGGATAGGAGGCTCTGCCTGGACCGTCTTCTCATAGCGGAGAGCGACGAAGCTAGTGTCGTCCCTGAAGGGCACGAGCGTTGGCCGGGACTTCAGGCGTCCGCTGGAGAATTTTTGGGGCGCCATGGCTTGGTATTCAGGGCGCTTCGGCTGGGCGTAAGAAGCCAGAATGGTTAGATCGGCAGACGGAGCCAGGGTCTAAGGGTACCGGTGTAAGGTGAAGCAACCTCAGCGGTCGGTGGCACACCAGCGGAAGCACAACAGGTCTAGAGACGGACTGGAGAGCGATCGGGGCGGGGCGTTGTAAATGTGTAAGTGGAGGTGAGTGGCTCACCGTCCAAAGTGCCGTGAGCGCGGGATTCAGGTGTGCCAATTTCAAGGCCTTGATGCTAGACAGACGCTAGCTAGACGTGGGAGAACGGGGCCCCCTAAAGGAGACTGAATAGGGATGGGGAATGGGATGCCACAGATAGCAAGACCTATTCGGACTGAGATCTGAGAAAGATGAAGGTGGCGAAATAGACGCAGTGTGATTCAGATGGCAGGCAACAAGGTTGCGATGTCGCCTCGTGGCGTTTGTTGGCGTTGTGTAAGTTGGAGTGCGATTGTAGGAAGAAGTCAGGTATGTAAGTGGCTGCAAACCTGTGCAGAAACGACAGAACAAGACGACAGGAGCACCAGACTGAGGCTGTGGTGCAATATATTGCCTCGAAGGCAGGGAAACAGTGGCTGAGGTAGGATAGAAGGCGGGGCAACGGGATGGTAGAGTAAAAGGGTGCGGTGAACACCAGTATTGTGGTGCAGCAAGTCTTGGTCTGTGGGGGTGACTGAGAGAGAGAGAGAGAGTAGCTCGAGGGCTGAAATGGTCGGTTGAGAGCGAGTTGCAAAATGAGATGAGGTGAGGAGAGGAGGAGGAGGAGGGTAAAGCTCTGCTTTCAGTGTGATGAGGAGGAAAATCCAAGGGGATAATTTAATATCTTTGTGTGATTGTCGTCCTTAGTTGTGGTTGAGATGTGCGCAGTGGTGAATGTTAAGATCCAATTCCGTGGGAAGGAAGCAAGGAAGGCAGAAAGGACCAGGTCATGAACCGGGACGCTGGGCCAAGGTTACCTTTACTATTCTGCCTTTTCTTTTCTTCCTCGCAACCTTTACCTGCCCCTCAGTTTGTGTTCACCGTTTCCTATTCGCCCTTGTCACATCTGCCGCAAAGGAGAAGAAAGAAACGGCATGAGTAACACATGGTTTCCATCCAACCTAGCAGGCCCAGGTTGCAGAGCAGGAGGCGGTGGCAGCAGAAGCGGCAGTAGCCCGGCACCACAATCTGCACACACTTACAGCATTCGAGGAGGAGGCGGTCGGGGATCCCCAGCACATAACTGTAGGGTAGGATACGTACCCGTAAGGCCTTCCAAGATTGGCTGGGGATCGACGATCCGTTACGATCCTATTGGCCAAGCACCGTTAGGGCTGTCTGGCTTTTGGCAAGTGGGTGTTGTCGTCTGAACCTCACATCTAGCCCAGCGCCGCGTTTGCGGCTTGCTCTCCCGTCTAGCGGTGCAGTTGTAGTCAGGCACAGATGGGGGAAAAGGAAAAGAGCTCAGCACCAAACATCCGCGGAGGAGGAAAGGAAAGGAGCATAAAAAATAAAAACAAAAAATAAGGACGCCTGGAAGATGACCCCCAAAAGAAACTGTAATCCACCCACGGCCCGCCACATCGCCCACCGTTCCAATGCGACGCTTCCTCATTGGCTTATTTAAACCGGGTGGTAGGAGGGACTGGTCCACCTCCCGCCATCTGGCCATGCATCAATACCCGAAGAAGGGTCTTCTTTTGCTTTGGCAGAGTGACCCTGGCTGGCCTGTCCACCATCGTCATCGCATAGCATTAAGTCGGTGAAGGGCTCCTTGCAGCGGATACCGCTACTCGGGGTCACTCAACCTTGAGCCCACCTCACTGCATGATGAGCTCCGCATGGCCAGTTCTTCATGACCGCCAACTTGACAATGACAAGCTAGCTAGCCGTAACCCAAGCAATGGGTCTGGGGGTTGGTCAATCCATCGTGAACCCGCCTCTGTGAACAGCCACGAGTATCTGTACCCTACGTCGCCTTACACAGAAACGGCCGGCCGAGGCAGCCGCGAAATTACGGTGACACACATGTCTGGGGAAAAGAAGCAACTTGACCTTCCCGTCCTCCCATGCCTCCTTTCTTCTGCTTAACCGCCGTGGTTTGTGATTTTCTTCCGTGGCTGGTTCTTCTTCTTCTTTTTTCTTTGTCCCATAGGGTTAAGATGTCTAACTTTAAACCTAAGTCATTCAGCCATATGCCTGCTGATTCGATATGTCGATAATTGTTAGTTGGGAATGCCACCCCGGCTTTCAGCCGTTCGTCAAGCAAACCAACCCCTGGTCAAAAGAATTTTGGGTCATTCAGCTCCAGCAGTTCGTGTATTACCAGAAGACCCCCGGAGATCGACCGAAGCGAACCAAAATCCGTTTTAGCCAACCTAGTTTATCCATCATCCCGCATCTGGGCAGCTTAAAAAAAAAAAAAAAGACATGCTATCAACCAAAGAATAAGAACAAAAATGAGACAGAACAAACAAAGTGAAAAAAAAAACACATGGGAAAAGGAACACTGCTACAACAGGTCTAAGATAAATTCAAGTCCTCCTGTATGTAGGAGAGAATCTCACTCTCCCACCTACCTTACTTACCTTCGACCATGATACTGCTGTGGAAGGACGACAAACAACGAGCAAACGGAAAGCTTCATGTTCGTTTCCGAAAGCTCTAAGGCCACCTGAACAGCGGGCAATCATCGTCGGGCGCGTACGCCTGTATTTTGCGATGATGCCCGTTTTCTTAGGTTCTAGGAGCAACGATCTGACGTGGCAACCCGTTTGCCAAGATCCAGTTGCGGCTTCAACCGGAAGGGCCCCGACAGTCGAAAAGAACATCCATATTGGGGGTTGCGTTGGCTGAACCACACTCTTTTGGATTTTACCCCCCCACCTCACCTCCCCTCCTCTCTCTTCCCGTGCCACCGGGTCGGCCCACCTGCTTAGGAATGTGCTCTGAGACCCTTTCTATGCTATCACGTTTTGTCACTGGCGGCCCGTCCCATAGCAGACTTGAAGGCAGGGATACAACGAAGAAGTGCAAAGACAGATGGTCACAATCCCGTCACATAATAACATACGCCGCAACTCACCATGTTGTGTGACTGTCACGCTCAATTGATATGGTTACTAACAACGACCCGGAGGAGGAGGAGGAGGAGGTGAGAGATTTTTTTTTTAAAAAAAAAACATGCCCACGTCTTCCTCCTAGTCCGTCTCCTCCCTTCTCCGCTACGTCCCAGAACAAACCGTTGCGGGCAAACTGGAGCGTGATGAGCCGCAGGGCCACATTCCACTGTGAGTCAAAACATGTCGCGGATTATCAATAAAGCTGGGGGAAATGATAGCGTATCGGCCTTTTTTGGTACAGAATGGATTCGTCCCCCTCTTTTGGTCTCGTGGCCCAGCCCAGGCCATCCCGCTCATTTCGACGCGGACTAAACAACAAATAACCCCTCTCTGCATCGCTGGCTTTGCCCCTCTTGTGATTCCCGCCCGGACTGAGACAGGTTTTGAATGCAATCATAACGTGTGCGTCCGTCTATACCAGTCCGCTTACTCGAGGAGCGAGAAATAAAAACTAGAAAAAAAAATTGCAATGGTGTGATGCTTTGTGCCTTATGCCCGTTTGCCCCTTGCAGGCCATGCCATGACCCCTATTTGCGTGTCGCCGAATCAATCGCTATGCTCGTTGGTGGTTTCCCATGCATCATTACCCGCCGCAGGCAAACTTGAAGCATCGTGTCTCTCTTGCACGTTTCTATATTCAAATGGTTTATCCATCAAACAGTGGCTCGTAGCGCGCATTGTCCCCTTGCACGCAAAGGCCGCATATGGCCTTCCATGCACGAAGCAAAGACCATCAGGATCGAACGGCTCGTTCAAACCTCCTCATTCTCCCAATCCTTCTCGCTGAACATTGGTCCCTTGCGTGCGCCGCTGGCCTCGAGCTTCGATAAGAACTCCGGCGGGACAGTGGGAATGTACTTGCGCGCCCGCTCCCTGTTGACACCTCCAAAACCGGCTCCGTACGAGACGAGCATGTCCGTCACCGATGGGAGTGTAAACGGCAGCATCAAAGCTGGATCCAGCAAAAGGTTCTCTGGTGCGTCATCCTCCTCCTCGCTCTCGTCTCCGCCGGGTGTCTTGGCTATCTTGCTACCAGGAGTGTCTGCAATGCCACCGTTCGCGTCTTTGGCTTTTGTGGGCGTCGAAGGAGCGCTCTTGCGGTCCTCCTTCCTACGCACCTGCTCTGCTTGAATCGCATTGAGATACTTCAGCGCGCTCTTGGGCAGTCCTTTCTCGCCGACTTCTGGTCTGTAGTGTGACGCCGCGTGGATGAGCTGCTGCGGGCTGAGTCTCTTAAGCTGTTGTAAGGTGCCAACGAGGGCCTCGAGGTCGTCAGCACCGAGCGATGAGAAGCACTGCAGCCATTGTAGCAATTGAATCACAGGGGCTAGATGCCGTCTCGCTGCGTCCACTGTCGTCTCACCAGACGATCTGGTTTCGCCTCCTTCATAATGCTCGGGCTGTCGATTGTTGGTTCTAGCCCAGTCTTCCAATGTCGAGACGTTCATTCGAATTTGCATCGCTTTCGTCCTCGCAAGGTATTTTCGATTGGACATGATGCGATTAAAAAGTTCCGCCCCGAGCCAGTATAAGAGTTGAGAGATGATTTGCGCCGTAATAACTGAGTGAATGTCATACAAATCAAGCACGAACAAGGTGGATGACAGTAGAGAAGTGACGTTGCGCGGAGCGGGCTTCGCACGCTGTTTTGGGGACGGCGGCCGAAATCGTTTTTCGAGTGGCTCTTCCTTGACTTGCGCCTTTCGCTTGAATATCCTCCATTCGTTCTGGAAGGCAATGTCCTCGAAGCCAGGAATCGTTTCATGATCCAGCATGGCTGCATCGAGCACCTTGTCCAGTCTTCTTTCAGCGTCTCTGACGATAAGGATGAAGATCTCGTTGACCAATTCAGAGAGCTGAGCTTGGAACTCAACTGTAGCTTCCACCAACCCGGCATCCTTCTTGAGATAGTGAAGCAACAAAGTTGCGTTGGATATCCAAAAAGCCAGTATCGTCATGTCCCACTGATACTGCTCGACGACATCGTTGATTTTGTCCATGGCCGAGATCATCAATTTCGCTAGCAGGTCGGGGCTAGAATGGTAGTGCGCGTATCTCGCACTAAGGAATATCATGTTCGCGGGCACTGGCTTTTGTGCAGGTGACCGTTGAGGTGTCATTTTGGTGATTACAATGTCTAGTATGCGGTCGAGCTCGTGTTCTTGGAATACAAACATTTGGTCGTGCAAGCAGCGGGACCAGTCGAACTCGGGCTGCTCTTCCTCGAACTCATCGGTAGGCTACGAACGTCAGTGTTTGGCCTCCCAGAAATATGAGTCTCGTTGACACTCACCTCTGGCTGGTCGTCCATGCCCACGTTGCCCAGATCAACTTCAAGATCACGAGCACTGTCCATCATCATTCGTCTCCGTAGCTCGTTCTCGGCCATTTCCTCCTCGAAACGATCTTGAGAGAATCCAGGGTTGTAAAAGTCGTCGGTTCCTGCATTGCCAATGTTGTAGCCGCTGTCGTGGAGATAGAAAGACATGTCGCTGTCCGGAGGCACAAAATCGAAGGCCGTCCTTCCAGACGATGTCTTTTGTTCCGCCGACGCACCATTGTCGAGGAGGATTTTAGCAATGCTCTTATGCCGGTTTGTCATTGCCCACATAAGAGCGCTCCACTGATTCCGGTCTTGCTTGTCGACGTCTGCGCCAGCATCGATGAGAGCTTGTACTACGGTTTCATGGCCCTGTCCCTAATCAGCAACTGCACTCTTCCACCGATCCGCTCGTTACTCACAAAGCAACTCGCATATATGAGTGGGGGTGTTCCGTCTTCGTCCGGCGCGTTGATGTCGACGTATTCTCTTGCCTTGCCACTCAAAATGCTGCCAATTCTCTCGACGTCGCCGTTGCTCGCAGCCATGTTCAGTGCCTTTTGCAAGAGATCCTTCTTCTCGTCCTCGGATAGCTTTTCGTCTTTTAATATCGTATTCTCGTCATCGAAGCCTGGGCCGACCCGATGGGCCGCCTGGGCAGCTATCATTTCCATTAAGCGTGCGTCGCTGTTCTTTGGGCCTGACGTTATGTCTTCATCGTATGCGGGGTCGTCTAAGCTGAGGTTGCCAAAGTTGAGGGGCTTTGCAAGAACTGGCGAGGTCAGAAACTGTGATTGTCCTAGAAGACGGGCGTCAGTTTCGCAATCCCTACGCGGCAAAGTGCGCCTGGCGGATAGAGGGGGAGGGGGAAAGGCCACGCACCCTGCCAGCCATCATACATCTCCGTCTCCGGTACTAATTCACGGGGACGATGACTGCGATCGTCAAGAGACTTGGGCAAGTCAGCCGGTAGAGGGCGAGGCTTCTTCTCGTCGCCGAATCCACCGTTAACGTCCCCGAAGTCCATGGTGGGAGGAGGGGCACCCAGGAGGCCCGGTAGGCATTAGTTGGACGGGGGTATCGGTTTATGCGATGCGCGGTCCGATGCGGAAATGGTATTTGGCGAAGGACGCGCGGAAAGTTTCGCAACAGAAACAAAACTCGGTTGGGTTTGTTATGGATATGCAGCAAAGGAGGTCTTTCGTCGGGTCCCCTCGGGGTTGACGTTGTTGTGGTTGTGTTCTCAGCGTCGGATATGATAAAATGGCTCGGCGTACCTGAATGTCGTGTGATGTTGAGGTGTCCTGGTAACCCTCTAGGTGAAGTGCGTGTGCGTCTGTGTTATGTGTTCTTGTTCTGTAGCCCGAGTCCCGCAACCGCCACGCCAACTGGGCCCTGCTCTCAGGTAGATGAAGGTCGAGTGATCAGCTTGTTATGTCACTAATCGACTTTGGCGCGCACCCAGAACAAGCGCTGTAAAATGGACTGTTGCATGCGAAATGCACTGGGAAGACTCAGTGGGCTCGGAACTACTGCGGCACTGGAAGCATGTGGGCCGTGCGTCACCACAGCATTTAGCTGCCCCGCCAAGCTTCCCTGACGGAACTTTGTACTATCCGGCAGCGGGTTCTTCAGAGCAAGAGGCCAGGTACGGATACCTGCTTAGACCAAACCAGGAACCCACTGCACGCATCAATCTTATCGCTGTACGGATAAGACCAGGCCAACCATCCAAAATGAAAGCAAGGTTGGCCCCAGAGGAGGGGTGTCATCTTCCTGTTCATTTCTCATAGATTTGAATCATTTCTTTTATTTGTTTTTTTTAATCCCCTGAATTGGTGCAACAGCCTCATATTGATATGTTGGGCTCCTTCACTAACAACGACGTGGGGGTCCAAGGCCAGGTTTGTTTCCTGCAAATAACTCCAAATGCGACACCATTTGGCATTTATGCTCTCTTACCAAACACACGGAGCCTCTTCACACCTCCGTCTGGAATGATAGTGATCTTGACGTGCGTTACTTCTGTGTCCTTCACGGCGCTGGGGAAGTCATGTTCTTGGTCCGGGCCACACTTGCTCGGAGCCACGATCTCAATCCAGCCGCTAGCATCTGGTCCGGGCTCCCCGCTCTCCTTCCATGCAAGTGCATCGATCTTGGCCTTCTGCGGGAAGTTTCCACGGAAATGGGCCGTGTCAACAACGACGTTCTGAATGTATCCAGGGGCTCCGAGGCGCACAATAGTCCAGTCCACGTGGCCCTTGGTGCGTGATCTCGCCGTCTCCCATCCATCTCCCATGTCCTTACCCCGGCCGGGCAAGAGAAGGTTGTCCTTGGTACCAAAGTGCTGGTCACTGCAAGACACGGCAACACCGCCGTTCTGTGCCGCTGCAAGGTCAAAGATGGCCTCCTTATCATCAGGAAAGACCGGCACAGCATGCCCGAAGAGGCGGAATCTGGCAATACCACCGTCTGGGTACATGTTCAGACGGACGTGAGTGTACTGCTTCTGCTTAGGCTCAGTCAACTTCCACCCGAAGCGCTGAGAAGGGCCACACTCCTCGTTGCCCAAGATAGTCTCCCACTGTCCCCTTCCTCCCTTCCAGGAGACCACCTCATCATCGTTCAGGTTGAAGCAGCCCTCGACCGAAATTGAAGGAGCATGGTTGCCAGAGAAAAAGGCTGTGTCAACCTCAACGCCTTCAACGGTTCCAGACGCAACACCAAGACGAACTATGACCCAGTCAAAGGGCTCAGTGTTGTGACGTCTCGTCTCCCAGCCGTCGTACCAGGCGCCAGTGTAGACCATCTTACCCGGCTGTCTGATGGGAGGAGTGGGAGTCAGCAAGTTGGTGGCCTCTGCGAACCATTCGTCTGAGAAGGCCAAAATCTTTCCACCCAAAGCAGCGGAGATAAGATCTGGAACGCATCAGTTTCAACTTGCAACCCAATCATGATTACGTGCCAGGTGGGGATCTGAAGTTCATTTTATGAGGGGCAAGGAGGAAACCCACCGATGCTGCTGGAACGGAAAGTCTTGTCAATGTCATCGGAGGCGACTCGGGTCGTCTTGACCTGCTCAAGCATGTATTCCTGCTCGCTTGCCATGGTGTTGAATGAAGGTTGCGGGTGATGTATAGATATGGAGGAAGCTAGATGAGAGTCAAGCAGGGTGGTGGGGTGTTTTCTGTTCTCGAGTTGAAGAAATTCAGGACAATAGTTTCAAGTTTAAGGAACTAGAAGGTTGCAGGAACCCAAGCTATTTGAAGGGTTAGAATAGTGCAAAGGCCTTTGACGGGAAGACAAGGAAAAGCCGCGGAAGAGCCACGGCTTCTCTAGTTGCCCTCCTGTTTGCCTCCCCTTTGGCGGCCATTTCCGACGTCGGGCGGCTACAGTTGTCGGCCGCATTAAGGTCTTAAGCTTCGCCGGCGGCCAGAGGCGATAAGGCAAGGCGTAATGATTCGAGCGAATTAGCTAACATTGGGCGGACCGACCAATCTGCGGCGCTTCCCCGCATGACAACGGTCTCCGCTGTTGGGTCGGCGTGGGACTTGGAACTCCTGTCTCCGAAATCTGCTCAGGGCCGAGCAGAGGCTTTTGGTTGATGCCATTCGGAAGATGCTCCGTCTTTTCCCTTTGCCTTCATTTCTTTTTTCGGGAATCAGAAAGCGTCTACAATTTGACCTTGGCCGAGAGTCAAGTTTTGTGCTTGCTAGCAGCCTGCATCGTGAGGCGCAAAGCCCCCTCATGAAATTAATGACTCGATTTTCTGCAGATTGATAAGGCACCGTAAAGTACTCTTCCATAAGGTGATTCCTTCACCTTATAGTTTCCAAATCCAGTCTTCATAAGGTGAATGAATCACCTTATGGTTTCGTAAGCTCCACCGTCATGGGGGTGACATCGGCTGCACGTCGTGTAACGCGGCTCTCGCGGTCCACTACCATCACGTGCAGTGATTGGGCCTTAGCTTTGTTCTTATTGTGTAATTGAACTTGCGAGGTTCCATCAGGAGTCCTCCCTAAATGGTCTGGACAACATGCACACGGTTGTGTAGTGTAGTGGTTATCACTGTAGGCCTACCCATTTCCTGCTGAATTCCGCATTCCGTCGCTAACAATAATCCCCAGCCGGATTTTGATCACTCAATTGTCAAAAATCTTCCGGCAACCCCGGTTCGAGCCCGGGCACGACCTCATATTTTTTTCATCGCTTTTATTCTACTTTTTATTCTGTTCATTGGTTTTTAAACTTTCATAGATGGAACAGGCACTGGATAAACCCGAGCACGCCATACCATGCATAAGGTCCTAACGCCGTATTCGAGTTTGGGGAAAAAGCAAAGTGGAAAGCAAACCAAGCTCGGTTGATTGCAGATTCGCATGAGATCCAGATTCTGCAGCGCACAGTGACGACACTGGAACTCACTGGCAAAGAGCTGCAGTGACCGTTTCTCATTCCCTGTACTTAACCCCCCCAACTCCAACTACCCCACCATTCCGTGCGGTGGTACCCCCTGCAGGTCCTCGCTCTATCAGAAATACACTGGCTCCGATAGGTCACAGCTCGAGACGAGTTCTCGTCATCGATGCCGCCATCGATGACCTCCTACACTATCCACCGACCACCAAAATACCGTTTGTCCCTCCTTCCAAACTCGGGCGCTGCGTCGCACACGGCTAAGAATAAATTGCACAAACCTCTGCGCTGTTTCGTTTCGTCCAACCGCCTCCACATCCGCCATCCATCACCATATTTTATGAGGGAACGCAAGGAGAAGGAAAACTAATCCACTGCAACTCGCACCGTGATAGATAAGAGCAGGCTAGGTTAGGAAAAAGTGCAACAAACCGACCAACAATGGCTTCCGCAACAGGCCTCCCCGAACCCCCTCCCACTCAGGACCAGGAACGCAACCACGATCATGGTGAGCTGGAGCCACTCCTTGGGCGACCAGGCGACGCTCAGCAGCCTCCTGATCAATTCATCGCGAAGAATCTCATTCTTGGTATGTTATCGCTACCGCATTGACCTGGACTCTAATTGTTGTTACTGACCCCCGACTTCATCAGGCACTGGCGTCATCGCCCAATTCGGCGCCGTCATTCTCCTCGCGATGATATGGGCGTCAGTCTTAACTAAGGACCTGATCCTCTTCTCCGGCCACCCATTGGCCCAGAGTCTTGCGATCTTCACCCTTATTCAGTCCATTCTCTCGCTCCAGCCGACACACACGCCCGACCAGAAGCGCGTGGGACAGCGTGTGCACGCTGTACTAAACCTCCTCGCCTTTCTGTTCCTCGTTACCGGTGTTACCATTATTGAGTACAACAAATATCTGCAGGGTCCGGGCTCTCACTTTCACTCCGTCCACGGCTACCTCGGCGTCATTCTCTCCATCATCCTGCTGCTGCAGTACCTTGTCGGCTTTACCATGTGGGCAACCCCCAAGCTCTACGGAGGCGAGGATCGTGCGAAATCAATTTGGAAGTACCACCGGATGAGCGGCTACGCTGTCCTCGTCCTGCTGCTGATTACCGTTGCGACCGCCACCGACACTCCGTATAACGCCAACGTTCTCAAGTTGAAGCTTTGGGCTGTTGTTGTTACCTCGCTACTTGTTCTCATCGGCATCATTCCTCGAGTACAGAAGCAAAAACTAGGCTTTTCTTCCTAGAGTTTGGAATATTGAAGAGCGAAATGAAGAAGCAGTACAACAGTCTTTTCTCCTTCAGAACGGGAGCATGCGTGGTCAACTGCTTTGAGAGATACACTTTGAACGTCATTGCATGAAGGTTCGGTTGAATTTTTTTACTTGCTTCATTCTTGGAGGTTTGGCCTGCTTTTTCTCCTTCAAATGAAACCGCTATCAGGCGTTCAAGATATGGTGGGCTTGGATTTATGTAACGGGCAGGAAATCAACGCCAAAACGTGGAAAGTAGATGCCATTCACTCCACGAGTGGCTTTCAGTCAATACTATGAAACTATTAAACTATTTTTGATTATCATCAAATCGTACATGAAGCTCTTCGGACTCGCCACTGATATTTGGGTTGGTTGGGTTGGTTTCATGGAAGGGTTGCCGTGCCCTGGCTATTTTTTTAATTGGAACACATATACAACCGCTTCTATAAAATAATATTAGAAGATATGCCTACTAGGCGGGACATATACTATTTGATCCTTTGCGTCGTACATGGGACCAACTGCAGTTCGGACCATAAGAGACCTTGAGTCATGGTTCCGGCAATCTGTATGCGGTGCACTCACGTATCGCAAGGTTCCAGCGGCCGCATGTCGTCCCGGTCCGGTGTTGCATCGTTTGTCATTTTCCGTTCTGATGTCTACACGACAAATCGAAGTCGCCCAGCTAAGTGCTGCCGTCGTCTCTGTACTCAAGTCAACTTGCAACATGCAATGCCCAAGACTCGGGCAGGGAAAGGGGGGTCGCTGTGTAAGCCAGCAACAACAACGAGCAGCCGTTAGATCTTTCTCTTCCTGCACTGGCCCCTGCAAAATCTTCAATATCATCTCTCGTCGATGTAATTGCAGCAGGGTACATCCGTTTAACACTCCTGCTAAGGGCAAAGAAGTAAATGCAACTTGCGTATCTACGTTCTCGTGACAGTCTGGAGCGAACTATATCAATACTTGTTACCATGGACAGCCAGCGCGTCAGCGAGTACATGTATGATGACATGGGTCTGCTCATTTACTACACTGCCAGCATGATCCGTGGATCTTGCTTTCAGGGGCTTCGTCTCAATCCCAAGCCCTTACTGCCCGTGTGTCGATGTAGTCAATAATTTTGGGCAATAAATGCATCGCGTGCCCGCCAAACCACGCGAGGTTGTAAAACTGCGAAGAAATAAGTAACATCTTGTAAGTATAGTAGCCTGCTGACAACATCTAGTGATCAGCCTGTAGGCTAGGACGAGGGAGTTTCGCTGTGTTGTTCTCCAGGCATGCTGCCAAGGGGAGCCATGGCAATTAGAATATAACTATGACTTGCTCATTGGAGTAGTTCCGATGCAAAAACCCAGGCAAATACTCAAGTGGCTCAACCTGTGAGAATATACAGGAGAATCTAGCGAGTCAGGCCGAAATTGACTTTTGGACGTTTCATGGCATAGTCTCTTCGCAAGAAAGACCCAATAAGGTGATATCATAGCAGTGTATCGTTGATGATTCTACGGAGACTATATTCAGAGAAACGGTATCCTACGGAAGCCTCTATGAACGGATGGTTTGCATTTGTCGTCTACTAAGTGGGGGTTTGTCTCTCATGGACCACACGTCTATTGCGTCCAGCAGAGAGCAGACTCTGATTTGGCAACAGTGGAACAATGAAGCCCGTGAATCTGCTGCTGCCGTACTATGGACTTGGTAGACTGTGATAAGAAAGAACTCGAAGGGTGTCGCAATGTAATGACTCTGTATTTGATATCCTGTATTCCCGTTGAAAAACTCGCGAAACTTCAACCGGATGGAGCAAGTATGCCAATCCATCAAAGCACAGGTCCAATGTGGCAGTTTTCATGGAATGTGACAAGTTGCAGCAAACACAACAGGGATATTACGCAATGCGCTATCCCGCACAGTATTTCCCAAGCGAAAACGAGCAGTGCTGGTGGTAGCAAGGTAAACTTGATACAAAGGTAGAACCTGCTCTTGAGAGACCAGCTAGGTCATCGAGCTTCGAGGTATAATAACGGAAAGACTTGACTGCTGTGTCGGAATAACAACCCTCTATACTCCAATTACAGCAAGGCTCGGGCAAGGCGAAACATGCACGGATGATATAATGGGGTTGTGAAGCATTATTTGTTAATTGCACGCGATATAGGTTTTACTTAATCTCAAGCAGGACCAATATTCAACACCCATTGATATACACTGTAACTGGAGCTCTTCAATTTCGTTTTTAGCACGTTATTCACTGCAGCTCCAATGCAATTGTCCTAATGGGATAGCGTTAAACGGTCAGAAAGAAGGAAGTGATTCAGAGCAGGACTGTTCAGTAATCAAGACAGGTCCATCGGAACCAAATATTCGTTCGCCTTGCCTGAGATGAGCTGCCTATCGCAGAGTGAAAGGTTACGAGCCGAATTTACAGCCCAGGGTATCTGCCTGATGCCCGTAGCAACGTAAATCAAGCTCAAAGATCTAAATTGTGCCCTACAGCCATACGTCTTACTTGGTTCGTTCGAATGGCCTACCACTTCATGTTGCTGAAGCCATCATGAACCGACGATGTCTGCTCCATGTAACTTAAAGCTATGTTATGCTCCGGTCGCTGGGATTCTGAGTGGTATAGGTCGATAGTGCCGGATGTCAAGTGCGAGAGAACAACAAAGCAAGCCATGAGCATATGCAGGTCGTGATTGACCCAAATCCGGTGTTGCTATTCTCTATTTCACTGTCAATGCTGTCAATGTAACTGCATATTTTTACTATCTGGCTTTGTGATGCATTATGCCCAAGTTAGAGAAGTCAAGCACACCTCTGGCCATGTAAAAGTACAGTATATCTGATGTGTCTGTTTTGGCCTGTTATCAAGCTACGTCAAAATCCTGCAGTTGCCGACTCCGGTTTGAATCCCGACATGCTAACCATAGCCTTAACGGCATGCACAGGTAGGGAGCGAGCAAAGTGTAGATTCGAAAAGACAGCGTGCCTCGATGATCAAGCCGGTGCAAGTGTTTCTCTCGGACCTAGTGCCGTCGACTAACGGGATTGCCGCACCGAGCTAGACATAAGTAAACAAGCTGCAGCACCCCTTTCTCAGCCATTGCCCTCTTTGGGAATTCTCCGAAAGACGCTGTGACGCCTTGTGCCAAGTCAAGGTGCGTGTTGCGTTCTATCAGCTCGACGCTAGGTTTGGGCCTACCTCGAAAATCAAACGCCCATATGTGGAGGCAGTCGCAAGTGACGGCATACGGGCTTCACTAATTGCGAGGCCAGGTGAACAGTGGCGTCAGATACGTCAGAGGCGTCGAGCCTCCCCCTCCTCCTCATCTAAATTATCTAGCCCAGGAGACATAGTCTTCCATAGAGGGATCGCAATGTGAAATAAATGCAATTTCGATCAGGCCGATAATGCAGAAGTTATCGAGCCCATGAAACGGCATCAAATTTGAATACTGATGGCACACGGGCGTTCTGCTCGGGGTCAAGAGGACAACCCTCATGTTATGACAGCCCCCCCGCTGATCACAAGAGCTGTCAACTAGCAGATGGGATATCGAAAGAACATCAATCATGTTGTCACTGTAACCTCTAGTGAAAATGCAAATGTTTCTTCCCTTTACCGAAGGACTGGAAACTTCCTTCCCTGCCGTCGACCGCTAGATTTAGCCTAAAGGGCACTAAGCCAGTCCGGAATAGAAGGGTTAACACAAGCTCAACTGGTACCTTAGGACACGCTTGAGGCCATGGTCGGGGGTATTTCACCGACGACAGGCCTGATTGGCCGAAATATCACCCGTAGGGAGTTCCCCCCTCTCGGCCGCCGAGCCCAAAGCGGTGAAGTGTATGTCAGCCCGGAAAAGCCCCCTGCCCTTTTCAACTGTAACTTGTGCGGACATCTTCTTGACGGGTTATGTCTTGCCAGTGGGGGGGCGGAACCGCGTATCAAGGCCGGAAATTCCGATCTGTTCTGAGGATATCGTGCGTTGTTTCATTGCAGGGAGTGGATTCCGATGCGATGTGATGTCCGTCGAATCTCGCGATCGGCGATGGGGCTGTGTACGCGTAAAGCCACAATATATGAGCCACAGCTGGAGAGAGACATGACTTCACAAAGACAAGCTTACCCGAGATTCCATGATGCTACCTAAAAGACGGGAAGCCTTTGACAAGTCGACCTGCAGGGCTTGGCAAGCTGTGAGGAGCAGGCATTTTCCAGCGATGATCAAGGTAAGGCTGCGAGACCTGTGACGGCGATCAACCGTATACTCTGGTGTTGCTGTTTGTTGTAACACAAAGAAGTCGCTGAATCCGGATGTTGGAGAGGGTTTGTTACATGGTGTACGCGTGCAACCTTTCCTTTGCGCTTAACCAAATCGCCTTTGTTTTTTCTCTTTTGATATGTTGGCGAAGGGTTTGCCTTAACCGCTTTCCATCTAGTTCATCCAATGTCAAAATCCAAATTGTCGAGGTTCCCACCCCCAATCCTGTGTTTTCTATATATGCTTTGGATTTTACTTCAGCCAGTCACATAGAGCCGGCAACATAATGACAGACCATTAATCATCTCACCTTAGCTGGCAGCTTGGGTACTGGTTGAGGAGGTATACTAGTTTGATGGCTGTCATGCCAATTGCGGCCCGTGCGTGCCTGCCGCGGCTTCCAACGTTGAAATACGACGTGTGCCGAATCGCTGTGGGTGATATCAAATTGCTGCAAGCCGACTAATATGGCCAGGAGAAGGGGATGCATATTGACACGCTATCTCGGTGATTGGTTTGAGCGTTTGAGAGGACGTGCATATTAGAGCCAATAGCGGCGACAAGGCGCATGATGGGCATGGATAGCGAAAGACGGAAGAGGAAGGCTTCGAGAGTGCTGTCAGGCTGTAGCAGAGAAGAGCCTAACAAGGGGTGCTGCAAGCGCCAGGCGGAAACAAGGAAAACGACCGAAGATCCTCATGGGACTATGCCAGGCGGGGGGTGTTGGGCCTTTCTTTTTCGTAGTAAACAGTGTGTCCGGAAACCGAACCCAAACAGTTGTGATTGCCCATCAGCAGAGCCGGCCGCGGGGAACGACCGAACAGGACGACTCAGAGGAAGCAAAAAAGTACGACATTAGGGAAAAGAGGGACGATGCAGGCCAAAAGCGAGACACAAAAGCACATGTCGTTTCTTGAGTTGAGAGAAAAAGAGGGGCAAGGCTCTGTTTCTCATTTGATTGGGCCAAAATGCCCATTGGAACAAAGCCGCCTAGCAATGATGTGTTTTGACGTCATTTGATACTTACATAGCGTGGCAGGAACATGCTTCAGGGGTCTACAAGGTCATGCGTTGGCGAAAAAAAGGGAAGGGATAAAGAAAATAAAAATTCAATCTGAGTGTGATTGGGATGTGACTGTGAGAGCACACGTTGTGTTCTGGTGCAGGGGTCTTACTCTGTACCAGTAGTAAGTTCATACCTGCCCAGGCAAGCATCGGGCAATCGAAAGCCAAAGCTCTGCTGGGGGCTTTTTTTTTCTTCCTTCGGAGCAGCGTCCGTTAGCTTGAAATATGTATCTTTTGTTGGCCGCAAAACGCCTAGAGGAACGAGTCGACCCGTCGCTGGAAGGGCTGAATCGTACCATTGCTTCTGCAAAAGAGTGTTTGAGAACGCAGCACAGACTGACGACATTCTGCATTCGCATGTGAGCAAGTGTCTTGAATCGGAGGTGCCTGCCTTGAACTGCAGCTCTGTGTCGCAAAGCCTCGCCCCCCTTCGCCACGGTTACACGTCAAGTCCTCCCGTAGATTTGTCGCGTATTTCTCGTCTGTTAGGCGGGCAAAAGAATAAACGTGGAGGTGGCGGGGGGGCAAGGGCAAGTAAGGGAAAGATGGAAGTGCACACATAGAGACTGGCATGGTATTCAGGATGGGATGCGAAAAAGGCTTCAACACCGCCCAGCCACAAGCCAATTTCAGATACGGCGCCATTGACATTTCCTGCGATAGGTACATCCGACGAGCAGGTACCGAAGCTTGGCCTCCTGCGTCCCAGCCACTTGCGAAAGGCCATAGGGCCTCCTTGTTAATGGACAATGAACGAGTACGTAGTACAGACGCTACCCCCAATTCCCAGCCCGGCTGCGAAGCTAGAGGAAAAAGGCAGGTTCTCATTCGAGACAGTTGCATCTTAGTAAGTCGCCTAGGGGTTGTGGCCCCGTTGCAAGCGTGGTTCTGACACGTCCTGACCTGGCTTGTCGAGCTCGTATGCTCAGTCAAAGCGGTTGGGTGACGTACCCTATCTGGTCGGCCGCTCCTCGTCTTGTCGTGTCGCATTGCTTCCGTGAAGGTAGATACTTGACTGTCTCGGCTACGACGTGCGAGCTTGAAACAATGTGCAACATTTTGACGACGGCGGGTGTGCAAATGTGACGAAAATAAAAATATAACAAAAGGGGGACAAGGGCGAACGCGAAGTAGCCTAGTAGTAACTGGCCGGAAAAGGCTGCAAAGTGCCGCCGCCATTCTCACGATGCTCTCTCCGAGTCCCAACTCAGCAACTTCCCAGGGCATATCCCAATGTCATGCCCTGGCGCGGTGGGGTTTTTCCAACGGCGTCCCCCACAAATTAGGATGTGTTCAATAGTTAGTTGTCACTGAGGCGTTAGAGCGTGACCGAGTTGTGTCGTCCGAAAAATCACCGAGTCCACCGTTGGCGGGGGTGGGAGCCTTGTCACTTGACCACCGTCATCTTGATTTCGCCTGGAAAGCCTTGCTATCCAGCGTATTCGCAAGGCAGCCCGTCGCGAGCTGACCTGCAAAAAGCGGAACGACAGCATATAGGGAGGGGGAAACCCTCCGACTAGCCGCGTGCCGATGTGAGATGGAACACGTGAGTCCCGAAACGACCACGTTCGTCCAAAGTTTGCGCGTGTATTCATGGGCAATAGAGCAGACGTGTCTGATAGTACGTATTGTACGCCTCCTCAATTGCCGTCGCGTTCGGAGGCGGCAATAGGGACGAATAAGGGGACGGAGTTGTGACGTCGATGCGACTCACTCGAGCCTCTTGCTTAGAGATTCACAACGCCATGCACAAGCATTGAACGTCCAACACACCCTCCCAGCTGCCTGGGTTCAAGATGTGCGGGTAACAAGGCACACACATTGTGGGCGCACCTTGATTGTAACGATGCCTGTTCGGCATCACAGTTGGTCTTGTCCGTTGATCTGCTGGAGCAGGCCAGCCGGTAGTACACGTGTATCTACCTTTTAACGTTACAGCGCGTTTTGGGATTTTAGTGGGCAACTGGGATAGAGTTCATCAAAAACCAATGTAATGGAGGCTCTCTTTCCTGCTTTGAGTGTCTCCAAATACGGGGGCATGCCATGGACAGGAGGGCCGATCCGGACATTGTACAACGTAGTCGCGCGAGATACGGAACCTGGAAGCTAGAAGTACTCTGTAAGGTGGTGACTGGAACCGTAACGTGGTGTGTCCACTCGCAGCTGTGTCGTGGCTGAAGTCGGGCCGGGTACATGAACGAGTCCGTCTGATTGCTGCTAGCTTGAGGTGTTTGGTGTTCCGTTTTCTGTCTAGGGCTTTTCATAAACATACGGCACGGCGACGAATGTCGTTTTGATGAGGTTGGGAGAGTCATGAACTTGCCCCTGCCTTGGAGGTTGGACAGAGACATCATGGTCCGGGGAGAGTTCGAACGAGCCAACCAAGGCCAACTAGTGGTTGATTTCTGGCGGCTCATAAGTGCAGGGCGAAGGCAAAAAGTTGTCTAGGTATGGGATTCCTAGCCATTGGGGGTGTGACCAGGTGGGCACCTTTACTAGTACGGGGGGATCTTGATGTGGGAATTGAAACGGCGGACAGCGTCCGATGGAGGTTGTAAAAAGATGGCACCAAGTTTTTTTATTTTTTTATTTCCCAGTTGCCGTCAGGCAATATATGTGCCATGGGATTTGAGGTAAGATCAACGTGAAGATGGGAATGCCGTAGTGTCGGATCCGGGAAACCTGCACCTGTGTGTGGCATCTCCGCATGGTCTTCAAGGCTCAAACTCTTCACACCTTGTTGTTACCTGCCGTTATTGAGAACACGGACCAGAATATGGCCTGGAAGAAAACGGAAAAGGGCAAGGAGCCGTGTGACCGTGGGCGGGACGAAAGTAGGTAATTGAGAAAATGGAGGCGATTCCTAGTAGCGGGCAGGGAGACAGGTTCAACTAGAACGGAGTATCAGCGACTGGGAGTGCCCGTTGGTGGGTACCGTACATGGAGCTTTGGGACCAGCGGCGGTATTGATGTAATGCGCTCCACATAAGACCAGGGTGAGTACACGTGAGGCGCTACTGGAGGTATATGTACAAGGCCCGGCGTAAACCTCCGCTACACAAGATGGGAAAGCCAGGTAAGGAAGACATCCGTATCGCGGACGGTTTCTAGAGCCCTCCTATAGGGCCCGCCCTGGGACACTCGCTGGGAGGGGGAATTATCAGACCTTATCCCATCTGGGCCTGAATACCGCGCATTTGCTGCTCTACTCACTGTTCAGAGTGGAAAGCCGCTGCCAAGAATGCAGATACGGAAACTAATACAGCAGCAGCAAAATTGAGGGGGAAGAGGGAGCGACTATCGGTAAGATACCTCCTATTGTGAGAGAGAAAGGGGGCCTTCCGCACCTTTAAACCTGACTGAATGCTTGAGCCGAGACGCACAATTTCTTTCCCCAGTATCCGTGAAGTACCGCATCCATCTCAGCGCCCATACACTATTCCAGCGGTAAGGAGGCACATGCGCATGCGCTGTACCGGTACCTGCACGCAAATGAGGCACTTATTTGGTAGGCGTTGTGCCAGGGCCACCAGGCCAGTCATCTTCCAAGGAAGCACCCGTTGGCGGTATTTGTTTTTTCTGGGCTTGGCTTGGATGCCCGTAATGAAGTGTTTTTTTTTTTTTTCATGTCCCACGAGCCAGCCTCTTAGGAGAAAAGAGCTTGATTTGATCAACAAGGAGAAGACGAGCAACAATAGAAACGACCGGAAAACAAAATTGAAGGCATACAGAGAGCCAACTTCTACATTGATGTGTTGAGGTAGGGCTCGCGACACTGTATTGTAAGTACAATTGTGTGTTCCTTCCAGTCCTTGAAATGCAGTGAGGTACATCGCCCGCCTTCCCACTGGGGGGTTCCATGTCTTCAGCTCCATCTCCCAACTACGTCATCAAGCAGGAACACTTTGACTGAACGGGGCTGCCCACCCTTTCCTTTCTTGTTCCTCCGTCTGTCTCTACTTGTTTGCCTGCCTCTCTGCCTCTTGGTTTGTTACCCGCGCCTGCACTTCGACCTGCTGCAGCAGTTTCTCTCGCTTCGCCTCGCTTCGCTTCGTTTTTTTTCTGCTTTTCTGCCCCGTTCTTCCGCCCCCCCGTTCACCGTCACCGTCAGGCCCGACGTAGACTGAGATGAACCCCCAGTCCTGGTCCTAGTCCCATACTCACTGTTTAGCCCATTCCAATTCAGTCCAAACGCACATCCTATCCATACCTCGCCCGCCTACCTTGCCTTGCCACCACGAGGTACCAAAACCAAATCCAACCAGCCCAAACCACCACTGTTCAACACCACACCGTACTCCCCGTCCACGGTATTTCCCCTCGACGGCTTGACCTGAATCTTCCTTTCTCCTCACCGCAACCTCGCCGACCGATTGTCCCAAAACGCTCACCTTCCGCTTTCAACGCCCCTCCCCGCCCCCGAACCCCTCGTGGTCCTCCCTGTTCGATCCTACTCTCCTCGACACTCGACGAAGACGTTCGAAACCAGCCTTGGTTTACCTGCGAAGCGAAAATCACCACCTCCTCCACCTAAAAAAGCCTTGCGACTCTCTGTATATGGGGCGACCTTCTTCGTGAGGAATGCCAAGCACGAGCCTTCCAGCAGACAAGAAAGACACGTCCTCTGCGCGTCGGCTTAGCCTTCCACGACGATCGACCCCCGAATCGAAAAGGTCGCCTACCAAAGAACCCACGTTAGCTTTGCCAAGTCCTCGTCATGGACTGACCCTCGACTCCCCTACGTCTGGAGGAAATGCGCGCGTCGCAATGTCGAATGCGTCCAAGGAGCAGTCTCAACAGTCTCTGACTGACCGCTCCGCAGCGCAACTCAATCGTTCTGCCGCAACCGTTGCGATTTCTGGTGTTGTTAGTTCAGATACTAACCAAAGGCGCATTGAGAGCGCGTCTCACGTCAACGATGACGTTACAGGAGGGACAGGCGACCAGGAAGAAAAAAGCAAAAATGACGAGAGTGCGGGGACCAACAACACGCCGCCTCCCCTTTCCGAATCCCAGATACAGCTAAATAGGTACCGAGAGCGATTGGCACGCGACTTGGAGCGTCGCGAGATGGCGACCAGAGGCCTCATGGCAACGCCTCCCGAGAAGGTCCGCGTGTCTCCAATACTAGAGGAGAGCGGCAACTCACCTCAGACGACCCACGCTTCGGTCCCCCCAATGGCAACGACATCATCCGGCCTGACAACGACGTCCACCGAGTCGGGCAACACCATTCGCGGTGGAATAACGCCCGGTTTTATGGCGGGCACTCCATCCTACCCTTTTCCACGGATGGCTACGCCCAGATATGGACCCACGTCACTGAGCCAACCGTTCGGGAACATGTCACCCACCGCCGCCGCCTTCATGTCGCAAACCATGTCGTTCGAGGGCTTCGGGGCCGCCCAAGACAAGGTACTCTCCGGCTCGTCAACTCCCGCTTCAGCGCTTACTTTTCTTCCTGCTGGGGCCACCGGTCAATTGGATGGCGATTTTCCCAGCCCTAACTTGTATGACTTATCACTAATGCTCAGCGCCGAGCCGGGACTGGATGCGTGGTGGAACACAGTGGTTCAAATCATGAGAGACGTGTATAAGGCCGAAAGAGTGACACTTGCAGTGCCGGCTGATTCAACTGACATTGAGAATGTGCCGTGGGGTCAGAAGGCAACTTACAACGAACACCAGGAGGATGACCTAAGTCTTGGTTACATGGCTCGGGGTAGCAGCCTCATCCCAAGCAGTGCAGGTGATGTTGGTGCTGAGGAAACCTCACTACCTGAGGACACCCACCGGCCTAGATTGCTTCCACGTCCTAGCCTCCAAACCCGGCATTCCTTCACCACGTATGAGGACAACAGAGAACGAAAAGTAGCCAGCGAAAGGCTCTTGCCGTCGCGCCGCCCGACTCAGCTTGGCAGGAGTAAGAGCTACTTCCCACCTGGTCAGGCTTCGGAAGAGGAAGGCCATGAGCCACCGTGCCCGCCGTTAAACAAGTCAGCATTGGCTGAGCATGATGCTGAAGAGCAAAATGTACCGAGCTGGGAAGTTCCTCTCGTTGCAAACCCCGACATTGAAGGTCGGGTACTCCCTGTACTACAGGCGTTGGATTACGAAGCCGATCCTCTTATCGACCACAGTGGTGTGATGCGTGTTCTTGAACGTGGCAAAGTAATTGCGTTGACAAGAAGTTACCCATACCTACAAAACTTACCAGAAGAGCCGGCTAGCAAGTCTAAAACGGCAAGCAAACCGAGCTCGACAGAAACGGCGAAGAAGAAGTTGAAAAAATCAAGGGTTGAGTCTAGCTCCAAACTGTCGACTATCCTTGGAGGATCGAATCCTCCTCGGAGCTTAGACAGGCCTAAGCCTTCCAGTATGATCTCGCGACTTGACGATGACGAGCCACGACCACCGACACCCAAGTACGAAGAGTTCGAGCAAGCTCCGCCTTCGCCATGGTCTCAGTCCCCTGCCCCGTCCCCGGCTGTCCGAGCCGACCCCACAGAGAATCCCTTTTTCACGGATGCCATGGTTGACGAAGACTCCTTTAACCCTGGGTCCGCCCCTGCTGACTATGCTGGAATGCGACCACCGGAGGCCATCGGTGTCGACAACTCGTGGACCGTCCTCCATATCCCATTGACTCATTTGCTCCTGTCAAAGCCCGTTCACCCTTTTAAACTTGACACTACAATATTGGAGCAGAAGACTCACAATCGCAACAAGAGTGAAGCTCAAGAGCCTTCAGCTGAAAATGATGGATCTGGTTCATCGTGGCAGCGGAAGGATAAGCCGGCGCCCATCGCTATCCTCTCGATACTAAGCCCCATCATTCCTTACCCCTCAAATCTTCGCCATTCATTGGAATATCTCGCCCCGCACCTGGCAACCTCTTTCTCTCTCTGCCGTCACTACACGAACCTGGAGACAGAGCTTGCTGGACTTAATCGCCGTAGACCTCAAACTGCTGGGTTTGGCGCCATTGCAGCTGATGGACGCCCCCTGGCCGACCCTGCTAGTATCGGCAACCTAAGCTACATTCCGTCTGATGATGTAGCTGCTCAACGTTCGCTGGCAGGCAGCATCACAAGCCCGAGTGATTATTCTGGCGTTTCCAAGAGTGCCACTGGTTCCCCAATCGGCACACCCAGTTGGGATCAGAGCTCTTTACAGCAGATTTTGGACAAGAGAGGCCCAGTGTCCAGCCCAGCCCAGACTGGAGGTGACAGTTACTTCAGTACCAAGCAAAAGACGGCTTCATCAAAAGCAGAGGCTTCTGTGCCAAGTTCTCAGAAGATAAGACGCAGTTCAAAGGAAAACTCCCCTGCTGAGAAGAGACAAGCCCGTCTTTCTGTTGGATATAGAACCCCAGCACCGGAGCCTTCTCCAACTCCTGGGCCAGAGGAAAGTGATGAACTTGTAGAGAGGGCCGCAGACAGCCGAGTCTCGACGCCAGGTGGTGTCAAGCGAGTACTCTCCAACGAGCTCAAGAACTATCTCGATGAGATCGCAGTGCTCGAACCTCGAATGAAACCCGTCGAGCACAAGGGCTCAGATTATAACCACCATACACTCCTGCACTCATACGGCGCTGACTTCGCCACGAGCTTTCAGTCGCTGCCGCCGAGTTCAAGTGTCGTCAGCAAGCCGGTGCCCTATACAGCATCATCTAGAGCTGGCTCCATTGCCGTCGGCCCAGTCGACATGCCACCCCCTTCCGACCGCTTAAAGGGACTCATTCTCGACTCACTTCCTGCACATGTCTTCGTCTCTCTGCCTCAGACTGGGGAGATAGTCTGGGTCAACAGTCGCTACTTGACGTACCGTGGGCAGACAGTGGCCGACCTTGCCGCTGACCCATGGGGCAGTATCCACCCCGATGACAGGGACGAGTATCTTAAGGCATGGAGCCACTCTCTGCGGACAGGCGAGCAGTTCTCGAGAACAGTTCGTATAAAGCGATTCGATGGAGCCTATCGATGGTTTTACGCCCGCGCTGTCGCATCTCGTGATAAACGAGGGGTCATGATGCAATTCCTCGGTTCGTACATGGACATCCATGATCAGCATATAGCAGAGCTCAAAGCTGCCCGACAAGAGGAAATTGAGGCATCCGAGGCGAAGCACAGACTACTGGCCAACCTTATCCCTCAAATTATATTCACCGCTACCGAAGATGAAGGCATCACTTTTGCCAACGAACAATGGTTGTCCTATACTGGTCAGAGCTTCGAGGATTCACTCGGCCTTGGATTTATGGACTTTGTACATCCCGATGATCTGGCAAAATGTCACATACCTACAGACAGACCGCCAACTCCTCTACCTGCCAGATTTGATCGAAAGGCACACATGGATTCTTCATTGTTCGAGGCTGCCGCGACCAACACGGCTCAGTCAAAGGCTCAGAGTCTTCTAGAAACCAACCTAAGGGGCATACATCAAGCTCTATCACGAAATAACAGTTCAAGCAGCAGCTCAGTCTACGAGATGCCCACGGCGGACCTTACGGAGTTGGCAAGGAAGGGCATCATCAAAGTTACTACCGATAGCAACGGTCGACTTTCCTACACGACGGAAGTCCGCTTAAGGTCTAAGAACGGTGAATATAGGTGGCACTTGATCCGGTGCGTTGAGATTGACAACATCGACTTCGGTAACGGAGCCAGTTCATACTTCGGCTCTGCAACGGATATCAATGACCACAAGCTATTGGAAGCGAAGTTGAAAGAAGCCATGGAGTCGAAGAGCAGGTTCCTGAGTAACATGTCTCATGAGATTCGAACACCACTCATCGGCATTTCTGGCATGGTCAGTTTCCTGCAAGACACTACGTTGAACGAAGAGCAGCGTGACTACACGAACACTATCCAAACAAGCGCCAACAGTCTTCTCATGATCATCAACGACATCCTCGACTTGTCTAAGGTTGATGCGGGCATGATGAAATTAAAGTATGAATGGTTCCACACGCGCTCTCTGATCGAAGACGTCAATGAGCTGGTGTCCACTATGGCGATCGCCAAGAGACTTGAGTTGAACTATATTGTGGAAGAGGATGTACCTGCCTGGGTCAAGGGCGACAGAGTTCGAATCCGTCAAGTCCTCCTTAATGTCATCGGCAACGCGATCAAGTTTACCGCCGAGGGTGAGGTATTCAGCCGTTGTAGGATTTTCACTGCTGATAAATCTGCAACTGATCAACACGAGATCATGCTCGAGTTTGCCGTCATTGACACTGGCCGCGGTTTCACAAAGGAAGAGGCTGACCTGATCTTCAAGCCATTCAGTCAGATTGACGGAAGCAGCACTAGGCAACATGGAGGAAGCGGCCTTGGCTTAGTGATTTCAAGGCAGTTGGTAGAGCTTCATGGAGGCAAGATGGAGGGTACCGCAGTTCCTGGCAAAGGCTCAACCTTCACTTTCACTGCAAAGTTTGCTCTACCAACCCAGTCCGACCATCCCGATCTCCCTATCAGCCCAAAGGCCCTTCAGCCCAACCTTCCATCTCCTGAGGAGGTTGCGGTGCTTCGGCCCGGTGGAAAAACTCAACAATTAACAAAGGCTGTATCAACAACGAGCCCCAGCACTGATCCTGAGTTTGTTTCGCCTGCTCTGGCTTCTAGCGGCAGTTCAGATCCTTCGGTACACTCCAGTGTTTCCCATGTCACTGAGCGTACCTCGGTCTCCTCGGTAAATGTTGGTCTTGTCCACTTTAGCGAAGCCGCCAGAGCTAGCGGTCAGGACTTGTCACAGATGAAGCTGGAGCTACCTTCCAGCGAGTCATCTCCCGACACGACTCCCACACCGGAGGCGTCCAAACCTGGACAAGTTGAGGATTTCAGGCCTCCGATGTACTCGATTCTAATTATTTGCCCGCAAACTCACAGTCGCGAGGCCACTGCGCAACATATCGAGATGACATTACCAAAGGACGTGCCTCATCAAATTACAGCTCTTGATTCAGTTGATAAAGCACAAAGATTGCTAGGAGGAGACGATTCTGTCAACTTCACCCATATCGTACTGAATCTTCCTTCGCCCGAGGAAATTATCGGCTTAATGGAACGTATAACCAAATCAGCGACGATCAGCAATACTACAATTCTTATTCTCACCGATTCGGTTCAGCGGCAGGCTGTATTGAAATTGGCCACCGACACAAAATACGAGCAACTAGTTTCTGACAACCTGGTCACGTTCATCTACAAGCCGGTCAAGCCGTCGAGGTTTGCCGTCATCTTCGATCCCGAGAAGGTTCGCGACCTGAGCATAGATCGGAATCGCTCTACAGCCCAGAGGATGGTGGAAACTCAAAAGGCCAGCTACCAAGAAATCGAAAAGCGCATGGGCAATAAAGGGTATAAGGTACTTTTGGTTGAAGACAATCCGGTCAACCAAAAGGTTCTGAAAAAGTACTTGAAGAAGGTTGGCGTGGAGGTTGAGGTGGCGACAGACGGCGCTGAGTGCACTGATATGGTCTTCTCCCGCTCTCACAGCTACTACTCCCTGATACTGGTAAGTCTTTAAGTCCAATCATTGCCTGATTTTGAGGCTAATTAGATGACCAGTGCGACTTGCATATGCCGCGCAAGGACGGTTATCAAGCCTGCCGTGAAATTCGACAATGGGAGAAGGAAAACGGGTTCAAAAAGATGCCAATCATTGCACTTTCCGCCAACGTCATGTCTGATGTTCAGGACAAGTGTATCTCAGCCGGATTCAGTGACTACGTTACGAAACCCGTTGATTTCATCGACCTCAGCAGGGCTATGTCCAAGTTCTTCTGAGATACATAAACAAAAGCAAACCAGAATAAACAACAAAAGAAGAGTCTCTTAAGAGACTTCGATCTGGCACCTACTGTGCAAAAGCATGGGTATGCATATGATATGCTACACAACAAAAAACGGCTCATGTTGGCAAGGCATACGTCATAGGGACGGGTTTGGCGTTCACGGGATACGATTGAATTGGGTTTAACATGACTAATTTGTGGTGTTTCTTTTGCCCACTATGTACTACTGCTTCGAGGCGGATACCATCATAGAGACGCGCCCTTAGAAGGAGGGTTTATGTTTCGGCGGTAGGGGACTACTCAGGATTATACATTAGTTTCTCTTCTCATGGACCATGATACAGGAGGAAGAGCAGAGCTGCCTGACGGTTAGCTTAGAGGATGATGAATGTACATGGTTTTTAAACAAGGTTACAAGTCCGCGCGGAGTGCAGAGGTTGAAACTTGGAGGCCGTATTGGGCCCATCATAAACTAGTAGGGAACTTGCTAGTATAAATTTTTGCTTTCGCCAGGGCTGAATTGGGCTCGGAATGTTTTTCATGTTTTTGGGGTTGGAAAGACAATCAAAGAACACGGCAGTTCTCTCTTTGTGACAAGATGAGTTGGAGTTTCAGGGTAACGAAATGAGATATCATGAATGGAAAGCTCGTTCCAGGTCACTCAAAACACTTTTAAATCAACTTGTTGTGTACACTTGATCATGCATTGATGTACATGTGAAAACCATCAGTGTAGGGCAAGCGGCCGACTGGTCTTGAGACGTGCTGATGGATCCGACTCCTGAGCTCCCTCCCCGTTTCTTAGCTGCTGTGATTTGTCTTACTCCACGGACTTCGTTGGAGGCAATTTTCATTGTTGATTTGATGGTAGATTTTCATTAAGTGACCCTGTTTCTAGAAATTCTGAAAGACGAGAACGGCGGGACAACCGGGACTACCTGAGCTACAACAGCGAAGGGCCTCCTCGCATGTTACTTGGCCTATTTAGTTTAACATACTCTGTTTGGAAAATTTTTAAATGGTACTTGATGAGGTGAGTTGAAAATGCCCATGTAGTAGGTAGGCATCCGAAACCCTGTCGCTTTCTCGTCGCCTCGAGAAGGCACTCCAAGGGAGTTTCTTTCTTTGCTAAACGTCATTCCAACTTCCTCGACACATCTTTGTCGTGGTTAATTTCCAGATGTTTTCATCTTTGGCGAACTTGTAGCCATTTTCTAGGGCATTCGAGGCTCAAAATGCCCCCTTTAAACGTATCTAGGCGTCCTTTATCAAACCTTCCATGTTTCCTTTTCATAATAGCTACGGCACAGCAGTCTCTCTTTCCCTGGCGTGGCCTTGTCAAACTATTTCTTCACCACCAACTGATTGTACACAGAATCCAACTTATCATGGCCTAGCAGGAATCCATAGTTGCCTCCACTATCAACTTTCGGCGAAGCTCTCAATTCACTCTACAGGAAGATCCCACGTCCAAGGCCAACCTTCTTGATCAAATTGTGGAAGACTGATTTTCTTTACTAATTCCGGATCTTACCTGCGTATCTTAGCTTTGCTTTCACTTACACTCTTCTCGATCGCCTATGAGGGTATCGCACGCTCAAGTATCTACCGTCGACTACTGGACTATCCAAGACCACAAAAGATATACCAAGGAGTAGTCCCAGAGGACAAGAGAGAGGTGAACAAAGTTAGCCAGCAGTTGACGTCCCGTTAGACTCTCACTGAATGTAGTATTGCATGAAGTCGACCACCGACAAAGATACGCCACTGATCTCGGAAAGACGCATAGCCATGGATTTAGCAAGCCCGGACTCAGGTATGATTCAAAGCCAAAGGGTTTCTCAAGCCATACTTCGTCAATTATTTATTGTATCAGTGTGAGTTGGGCGTCATAGGCGAATATAAGTACTAATACTTTCCCCAAACCCATCAGATCTTAGCGCCTTTGGCCATCCAGGCCATAACCTCACGAAAACTTCCGGCTTTCACTCGCATATGAGTGTGCGGGAAAAGCTTCTCACAGGTGTAAACCTAAGCTTTCAGAAGAAAGAAGAACACGACGCACTCCATCGTGGAAAAGTAGTCCGTCGTCATGAAGATCTTATCAGTGACGCCATGGGAGTCGGTGGCATCCATCTGACTGACATCATTCTCGACTTGCCTCATAATTTCCGACAAGATGAGACTCAGAGAGTTGCTGAGCAAGAGGTCTTGATGAAAGGAATGAGACCCCAACCCACGACTTACGAGGAAAAGGCCGAAGCAGACACAACCCGTTCACAGAGATATGCTAAGCGGGCTTACCATTATAGAGCAAGGCTTCCATATGTGTAAGCTCAGGGCAGGCGCGGACAATAAAGTCAATTTCACTGACGGAGGCCAGCTACCGAAGTGGACGCCGGTTGAATATAGTGACCAGTACACAGAACGAAAGCCCGCACAAAATCAAGGGCATGGAACATCGACAGCGGGCCGATCAGATCATGAACGTCGAGTGGCGACAAGAACAAAAAAGTCGCCGAGTGAGCATGGATTTTAGTTCGTTCCAAGAGAAATCCATGAGAATTAACGGGTACCGAGAGCGAACCATACAATCCATTCACTTTCAACTACAAGGACACAATTCTCATCATGAAATTTTCGGTCCACCGCTGGGCAAGGAAGTCTTTGATGGCCGTTGGGATGATCTCAGAACGGGGAAATCTTTTTTACATCAGGGTGACCAGTCAATATCTATGACTGATCTTGACATGTGAGCCCGCACAAGCTCATTTTATTTGTCCTGGTCAGCAGTTAACTTCAGCTTTTAGCATTGATGTCGATGGGGTAAAGCGCAGCTGGCTTTGTATCGAGATATGCGGGCCCTTGATAAACACCAATGGTCCGGTTCCTCTTGTACTCGACCCGATGCCAAGATCCTCTATTAAGATTGCTGTACCCGCTGGCAAAGTCAGCTTGGCGTCGACCATATGGCAACCGCAGATGATCTGCAAAGTTTCTCAGAACCCAACAGAAGCGCAGAACGTGGATGGATTACCTGAGATTTCTCTCAGCCCGCTCGGTGAAATTGTAGAGCCGAACAATGTGCGGCTGAGAATGAGCAGACATGGAATCCCGATTTTCGTGACCCAGTCCAAATTAGACCATGTTCCGGGTCATTACATCATAGAGGACTTCTTTTCTGCCCAGAACGTATTCGGACTTCCATGGAAGGAAACAGACCGGCGAGTGAAGCTGGAGAACAAGATGAGACGGAAATCCGAGTTCTGGGAAGACGTGCACCAACAAGCGCGCGAGGACAGAAAGCAGTGGTGCGAGATCCAACAGGCCATGGCCCGCGACAGCTGTGTTGTGGACATTGTTTTCCAGGGGGATTGGGTTCACGTTCCCCCAAATGCACAAGAGCAACACTTGAACCTTTGGTCAAGACCGATACCCCGGCAGATTTCCGCACCCTCTCGGCAGAACACCCGACATGACAAAAACCTCACAGGTCATGCCATCCGCCACTCAAACAGTTCAGGTCTCCGAAATGAAATCAAGTGGTAGAGGTGTAACAGGGCGGTTTTCCGGGATGATACACTTAGCTGATAGGTACTCGACGAGGCTTGGGGTGATGAGAAGTATGAGAGGGCGAGGACAACATGGGATATAGAACTTAAATGACAACACCAGCAAGCGATTTCAAACGAGTTTCTCAGCTTCTGAACGATTCAAGAGAAGAAAAAAATTCGATTAAAAAAGATTACATATAACCAAGGAGACTGTGTGTCTGCACACATATAAGCTTCAATAGGGTGATTGATGACAAAGGAATAGAGGCAGGACGTTTAACGAAGCTTCCACCGCCAGGGTGGAGCCGTCTCGGTGTGGCTGATAAGAACCCAGGTGAATCTCGGTGAATCGGGAAATAGGTTCCGCCGTGCTCCTGCTACATCCCGCCAAAAAACAAACCCGCCCAGCGAACTTTTTAGAAGCCCGGTGCCTTGAGGAGCAGTAGCAACACCCCCGCCATCTCCACGATTCCCCTTGCACCGGTGAAGCTCCTCGTCGAAACAACTCTTATAGACGAACCGATTTTTCATCAAAACTCCGAATTCGTCGTTGCCCACCATGCAGGCCCCTGTGCTGGTTATGAGTATGTTAGCCCCTCCTTGCTGGAGCTTGATGAGCTACCCCCCCATGTTACGCAGCAATGCTGACTATATCTCTTTGTAGACACCCAGAGCGGTGAGCGGCAGACTGGTCGCAAGGCTCAACTCTCCAATATTGCAGCTGCTAAGACGTACGATTTTCCCTCGACTGCAGTTCTGTGTGAATCAACTGACCCCACATCAACAGTGTCGCCGACATTATTCGATCATGCTTGGGACCCAAGGCTATGTTGAAGATGCTTCTAGACCCCATGGGAGGTATCGTCCTTACCAACGACGGTCACGCTATTCTCAGAGAGATCGAGGTTTCGCACCCCGCAGCAAAGAGCATGATCGAGCTCAGCCGGACACAAGACGAGGAAGTTGGCGATGGAACCACGACGGTCATTATCCTAGGTGAGCTTCCGGCGCGCGCAAGACATGCTGCTTATAAAGCACACAAATACTGACATGGTGCAGCTGGTGAGATGCTTGCCCAGTCTTTGCCCCAGCTCGAGCGCAACATCCACCCCGTCCAGATCATCGCCGCCTTCCGCCGGGCGCTCAAGGACGCCCTCGAGATCGTGGACGACATTTCCCTCCCTATCGATGTGAATGATGACAAGGCTATGCAAGGCCTCATCTCCTCCTCTATCGGCACCAAGTTTGTCTCGAGGTGGTCGGACCTGATGTGCGACCTTGCCCTTAGAGCCGTCCGCACCGTCACGTGGGAGGTCGGTAACGGCAAGACAGAGGTTGATATTAAGCGCTACGCGCGTGTGGAGAAGGTTCCTGGTGGCGAGATTGAAGACAGCAGAGTTTTGGATGGTGTTATGCTCAACAAGGACATCACCCACCCCAAGATGCGTCGGAGAATAGAGAACCCCAGAATCGTCCTTCTCGACTGCCCCCTGGAGTACAAGAAGGGCGAGTCGCAAACCAACATTGAAATTTCCAAGGAGGAGGACTGGAACCGCATTCTACAGATTGAGGAAGAGCAGGTTAAGGCCATGTGCGAGTCTGTCCTCGCCCTCAAGCCTGATCTGGTCATCACCGAGAAGGGCGTCTCAGGTAAGCGGCGCCTTTGGAACAGACTTTTTCTAGATGGCAAAACTAATGCACGTTGCAGATCTTGCCCAACACTATCTGATGAAGGCTAACGTTACTGCTCTCCGCCGTGTCCGCAAGACGGACAACAACAGAATAGCAAGAGCCACGGGCGCCACTATCGTCAACCGTGTTGATGACATTCAGGACTCGGACGTCGGCACGCTCTGCGGTCTCTTTGAGATTGAGAAGATTGGCGACGAGTACTTCACCTTCCTCACCAAGTGCAAGAATCCCAAGGCTTGCACAGTGCTTCTCAGAGGCCCATCCAAGGATGTGCTCAACGAGATTGAGCGTAACCTCCAGGATGCCATGGGTGTCGCCCGGAACGTCATGTTCAACCCCAGACTCGCCCCTGGCGGTGGCGCTACCGAGATGGCTGTCTCGGTGCGGTTGAGCCAGCTCGCAAAGAGTGTCGAGGGTGTTCAGCAGTGGCCTTACAAGGCCGTTGCAGACGCACTCGAGGTTATCCCCCGCACTTTGGTTCAGAACGCTGGTGCCAGCCCCGTCAGAGTCCTGACGGATCTGCGCGCCAAGCACGCCGAGGGCAAGCACTCTTGGGGTATCAACGGAGACAGCGGTGTGATTGCAGACATGAAGGAGTACGGCGTTTGGGAGCCGGAGGCTATCAAGCTGCAGAGCATCAAGACGGCTATCGAGGTATGTGGTTTACATCTACAAAGCTTACAATTTTTTACAGCACATCCACTGACACATGTATAACTAGTCCGCCTGCTTGCTCCTCAGAGTTGACGATATCTGCAGCGCGAGAAAGGCTGCGCAAGTAGGCAATGGCCTGCACGGCGGCGGTGACGAATAAGATGCCTGATGAAGTTAGTCGGCTGGGTATTTGGAAGGCAGGGAGGTGTAGGTGCGCTGCGAGAGAGATGATGATGAAAAAAAAAGTCATACCCTGTACAAGGCATAGACATGGGATTAGAAATACCTAGACGACAACGTTCTCGGGACTTCAAAAAGCTTTGATGCTTTTTTAAATGGCTCTCTCGGGGGCCCTGCTTGTTTGTGTCTCCTGTGGCACAGTCTGCCAATCCTGGACCCACCCGTTTGATCTGAAGTTATTTTTGGTACTGCCAAGGTCGAAGCTCAAGCTCATGGCCCCTGGGAGCTCACAAGATGAATCAATCATCGTCATGGATGACCAAACCAGCAGGCTGAACTGAGGCGGCACCTGTTGCTTCAGATTCCTTGCTTCCATTATCGCCCTTGCTGTTCTTGGCGTCGCCATCTTCCTTGCCTGTAGATGTTTCCGTCGCGGTCGACTTAGTAGCCGTCCCCTTTGTGGTTGCATTGCCATTTGCTGACGCTGGCGTTGCAGGACCCTTCTTCGCCTTTTGCTTCTTCTTCTTCTCCCTCTTCTCCCTGTTCTTGCGCGTGCGCTCCTCGTCCTTGGCCTCCCGCTCGGCCTTCTGGCGCTCAAATTCCTCGTTATCTTTCTCCTGCTTTACCTCTTCGTCCATAGCGCGCAGGCGGTCGTACTCGCGGCGACGACTAGCCTTGTAGACGTGGAACTCGCCTGACCCAGCTCCGGCGCTGGAGCCCTGGACATTGGTGACGATCTCGGGAGGTGCGGCTACTGCGCGCTTGGCTACTGCACCCGGAGGAGGAGGCATGCGGATCTCCTGGTCGGGCTTGGAGAAGAGGGCATCGAGCTGCTTCGCATGTTCGGAGACGGGAGTCAGGGCGCGCTTCTTCATCGGGCGCCGGCTGCGCGGGTCGGCGGAGGTGGGGATGGACTCGGGGCCTTCGCCGGACATGGTTGTTGAGGGCCGCCTTATCGACGTTGCAGAAACAGCGTGCAAGGTGTCTTTGGTTTTGCGGGGTATTCGGGGTGTTGGAGAAAGCTCGTTGGTAGCTCGGGTGCTCGCGTTGAGATTGGATCGTATGATTATGGGATGACGCCAAATCTGGAATGGGCTGATTCGGGATTGGGAACGCTGCGGGCGAGTGATCTACTCTGGAGTGGGCTGGGTACGAGATTCCCTAGCTTGCTTGTTTGTTTGCCTCGTCGTGTTGGTTTGGCTGGCGGTTGGAAATTCCACAGGCAGTAAATAGTTTCGCGACGCAAGTGAACAAACAGAAGGGTGGAAGGGATTGTCAGCCGTGGTTCGTTGCTGTGAGTGGCTCGGCTAGAGTGGGGTGGCGGTTAGGAGAGCTCCGAGGCGGCGGCGGCTGTTGTTCGTATGTTTCCTCGCGTCAGTGGAGGGTGGGAAAGGCTAACAAAGGTGTGGAATGGTGTGGGCGAAGTGGAGAATGTCATTAAGTGACGGAAAGGCGACGCAGAAATGGGCGGTTCCAGGCACGCGTTTACCACGCCAGAAAGGTGCAACCAAAATGCGGAATTGCGGTAGGTTAGTCCTAAGTATGGGGTTGCAGCGACGGGTCGTCTAGCTGCAGGTCGACGAAAAAGTTGACAGGAGGCCAAAGGGTGGGAATGGTAACAGACCAGAAAAAGAGAAAGGCAAAAAATGGGACCACGAAAGCAAGCCAATCCCCTGTAGTCTTTCTTTCGCTTGTGCACCTTTTCGCTTCGACTTGACTGGAGCAAGACTTGTAGGGCCCAAAAAAAAAAAAAAAAAAAAAAAAAAAAAAAAAAAAAGGAGAAAAAACCCCCAAGCTAGGAAGGCATTTGCATGCGTACAAGTGCCGCCATGCCGCAGTTGAGGGTTGGGGGCAAGGACAGCCTCGCCGCTTATCGGAGGGCCAGTGCGCCAATCAGGGGCTGCAGACTCCCTGTCTCAAGCCGCCGGTTGGGCGCTGCCTCAAGCATTTGATTGGCCATGGACCCTGTTGAGATTCTCCGATGTACCCCGCTGGAGGAGGGGAGCCAGGGGGCCTTGGTAAAGGGGATACGCCCTTTCCCCGGGAAGGACAAGGCTTGAAAATTAAAGGTAAGGCCTGCCAAAAAAATGATGGCCCTCAGTGGGACGAGGGGTCATTTCTACGTATGAAAACCATACCATCAGGCGGCGGACAAGCACCAAAAATACCTGTCACACGAGGGGGGCAAACACGCCAATGATTGATGTACAGTGAAGAAGCAATTAGTGCCTGACAGAAAACCCCCCGACAGCTACCCATGCACTGTCATAGAAGAGTCAAAAAAAGGGCCACACCGTCACAACCAACATCTGCACGCTCACACACACACTTTCCATCTTGTGACTCTTAGCTACTCCTTGCTACGCCTTACGTATCTTGTACCTACACTAAACTCATCCCATCTCAACCCCGAGAACCTGTTGGTCGGAAGACGTCAACGCATTATTAGGGCAGTGACCGTCCTCCTCTCAAGCACTGCCCGTAAGGTTAAGGTTGGCATAACGCGATACAAATACACCGGCAGCCCCTCCCAAGGTTAGGCCTGCCCCGCCGCATTCCTCTCCATACACTTCCCGGTCAACAAGGTTCTCAACGCTACTGTTTTGTGACCTGCCGTTGAATTCTATTGTTGGTCAACCCGACCTTGATCAAAATACTCCTGGCTACAATAATTTTGATTTTGCCACAATCACATTCCCTCCCACCAACGTTGTCCACCGTTCGAGCAACTCTGGACAACTGACTTCAAGTTCTCGAAACAACTCCAACAACAAAAAACCATTCACCATGGCGAAGCCAAGGCTCATTATCCTCATCAGACATGCCCAGTCTGAGGGCAACAGTACGCAGACTCCCTTGTTCCGAACCCCGAATATGTCCGTCCTTACCAGACTGCTAACCATCACACCCCGTCACTGCACAGAGAACCGCGAAATCCACCAGACGATCCCCGATCACCGCGTGAAACTGACCCAAGATGGCTGGCAACAAGCATACGACGCCGGTCGGCGCCTGCGCAAGCTGCTGCGCGCCGACGACACACTGCACTTCTTCACCTCCCCGTACAGGCGCACCCGCGAGACGACCGAAGGCATCCTCTCAACACTGACGTCGGATGACGAAGATCCCTCGCCCTTCAAGCGCTCTAACATTAAGGTCTACGAAGAACCACGCTTGCGTGAGCAGGATTTTGGTAATTTCCAGCCCTGCTCTGCTGAGATGGAGCGGATGTGGCAGGAGCGCGCTGACTACGGCCACTTTTTCTACCGTATCCCCAATGGCGAGAGTGCCGCAGATGCCTATGACAGAGTTAGTGGCTTCAACGAGAGTCTATGGCGCCAGTTTGGGGAAGACGATTTCGCTAGCGTTTGCGTGCTTGGTAAGTATATCAAGTATCACAGTTGTGTTTCAGTGTTGACTAGTGCTGTGCAGTCACCCACGGTCTTATGTCCCGTGTCTTCCTGATGAAGTGGTATCACTTCACCGTGGAGTACTTCGAAGACCTCCGTAACGTTAACCACTGCGAGTTCCTCATCATGCGCAAGCAAGAAGAAAGCAGCAAATACCTCCTTGAGAACAAACTCCGCACGTGGTCTGAATTGCGTAAGGAACGAGCCCAACTCAAGGACAAGGATGAGAAAGGAAAGTCCGAAGTGGAGGGGAATCAAGAGAGGCCGACGAAGGATGTTAAGGCGTCTAGCCTACTGGAGCGCAGTAAGACCTTCATTGTGACGCGTCGATGGGGTGGCTGTCCTAACGGATGCAACCACAAAAGCCACTATCAGAAACGCGAAGATTTAGAGGCTCTCCGCCAGCGAGACGAGTCCGCTGCCAACGGTAACGGGATTACCAATGGCCACTCCCGCCATCAATCACCGGCGCCGGGCCGGAGACCGAAGCGATGCGACCAGAGTTACAGCTCCGATGAGGACAATGGCAATCGACCGCCCCAGATCGACGTTACCCGATCACGCCAAGAGGTGGTATCATCTCCCGACGGGACCCCTTCCTTTATCTCCGCCGAAGACCGTCTCCGCAGCATGATCTCACCTCATCTCTACGTTGGTCGGGATTTTGGAGGCACGTTCTCTGGACAGACGTCGATTGCAGGTAGCGATACCGACTCATCTGAGGAGGAAGGCCACAGACCACAGATCGCATCCATTACGACCAAAGTGAAGATCGCAACTATTACCGCCATGGACAGCAACGGCATCAATGGCACTAACGGAAGCATTAACGGCGTTGTCAACGCTAATACGAACGGGGGCACAGCACCGTCGAACAATGGAAACGAATCGTTAGACAAAGATGGCATGCGGCGAGGAGCGCGCGCGAACCGCCTTGGTGACGCCCACAGTAGTGACTTAGGCTCTGAGGTGGACGAGGATGACTTAGCGCGCGCCGAAAAGGCGGACAAGAGCATTGAGGGAAGTGTTTATTAGGTTGGTGAAGGCTTGGTTGAGGTTTCTTGGGATGGGTGGCCGGGTCGATAATTCGACGTCAAGCACCAAGCACCAGCGTGTTTTCTTTGGTTTGGCGCATTTCGGTTCAAACTATGCGTGGAAAGTGTCTTACCTTCGGCTCACGAATGGCCTGCATGCACGGGAAGGGAGCTTACGCATTAGAGGGCATAGGTATTTTCATCGATGGTGCTTTTGGCTTCTTTCTGATGACGCAAGGAGGATATACCTAGATCGTATGACGCACATAGAGAAAAGGCAGATACGAACGTGCCGTAAATTGATTTTTTACTTCATTCAAACAGCTTGACTGCAGACATGTAGGAGTCTGTTTATAGGTCATCGCAGCCTGCTGGCACTTCCAATAACGGCGTTTTAAATCAATGCCAGTCTCATAATGACTGACGAAATGACTTTATGAATCTGGCTGCTTGTTGTCCCTGTCACTAATAAGGAAGCCGCAATATCCAGAGGCACTTGCACTACAGCACCATACCAGATTTGGCTTATGCAGGTAGTATTTTATTGCTCCCTTTGTAAACAAGCCAAACGGGATACACACAAGCAGCGTCCTGGACGACCAGGAGCATCATCTGGGAAAGCTTGGGGTGTGCGGGAGAGTCACTATGAGAAATCATACAAGGGCAGAGTCTAGAATTACTCTAATGTCGCTTTGGTCAGTCATTGCAGTGCCTTTGTGATCGCTCATCTGTACATATTCCTTGGAGCACAGAGGCTTACTTGGCTTGGCTAATATACCGGAGAAAGCCAGAATTTTCAATAACTTTGGGCTGGGTTGAGTCATAAACATATCCTCCTTCCCTCGATGTCCATAACGCTCGAGAACTTCGAGGTATATCCCGATATATAATGCATGAACAACTGCCACAGAGCTGGGCCATCTGTCAAACTTGCGGCGGTGGTTTGACACAAATGAGCGTGACATATTTTGCGCCTCTTGTGGCCCCTTCATACCCAGGAGTAGTTCAATTTGGCTGTTTGGATTGCGACTTTTGTTTCACGATTTCCCTATGATAATAAAATGGGTGGCGCAAAGGTGCTGACCACTGCAACAGACGCCGATGAATAGACTTGGCTTAGACAGAGTACCTGTATAATGAGGCAAAGATATGGGAAGTTTCGAACGTGGCTGTGTCTGTATTTCCGAAGGAGACCGAGTCAGTATAATCCTGCGAGGACGATCGCAGGCCAGAAGAGTGATATCTCTGTATGAACTGCGATAGAGTTTCTTCGTGACCGAATAACTGTGCTCATCCCCGTATCATGACGTGACCCTTCCATTGTTCATAGGGTCCATAAGTTTTGGTACACACTGACAACGAATGTATAGACGTCAGGCTTGTGGATCGCCTAGACAAACTACCGATAGATTGTTGTCCGTTGAAGGCAAGAGTAGGCTTGGAAGATGAGAAAAACAGTATGCCTGCAAGCATCATAGATGTTTGGGGCACCTCCGCATCTAAGCCAACTGTTTCCTCGGATAACTTCGGGAAATACGCACAATTGACATGATATATTGGAGTTACAGGGAGCCGTAGGGTGACGTTCGCGGACTATGAGTACATTTTGTGTCTTCCTCGCCCCTATGATCACATGATTACCAGTCCTGATGGAATCCGTTAGCAGATGACTAGGTCGGAGGACTCCTTTGGTGCATATCTCCTGCTCCAATTTCACCATGTATAAGTGGAACTAGTTCTGTTCTCATGCTATGGATGGCTTGCTTGGCCTTAGTATACATCCTAGGCCAGAAGAGCGAAGTGAGCTTTTAGATGCCTGGAACGATTGAGAATCGCTACGTCCTGTTACTTTGTCAAGTTGACGCTTCAGAAAGCCAGCAAGCCTTTATCGGCAATACGGTACGTTATAAGACCAACAATATTTTGCAAAAGGAGTGAGAATAGTCGAACGTTTTCACGGCTATGAAGGAGGTAGAATGTACACGAAGCCCATAATACCAGTATCTTAGAAATCTCAAGGACGCATTGAATGATCAAACGCCTCGCAAAGGATGTTTGCGACTGCCTATGTTCCCACTTGTAATGTCGTTCGATCTCACCAGGCTATATCAACCCATTCGCGAGTTACAAGGATAAGATGTATAACGTGTTGTCCTACCGGTTGATTTGCTTAGACTTACACTTTTATTCGTTACCTTCCAATCCCAACCACAAATGAAAATGGCCGCTTGCTCCAACTTGAAGCGTCTAAGTAACTCGTCAAATATTCCTTCAAAAGTCTATCCGTTGTTCCGGACCTTATGAAGATCTAAATCTTAGCTGAGGAGATATACATCCACAAGACGACATCAAAATGCGCCGTCACACACCAGGCCCTTACACAATTGCGTGTAGCGTACCACGCAAAGGCCACAGAGAATCCAAGAAGCTGGAAATTGAGCGGGGACCAATAGTGAGAACCATGAAATTTGTACCAGCATAATATGGGCGAACCTTCTTGACGTTATGAGGGCGTCTCTACTTTCGCTCTTTGCACTTCTTCACCAATGCTAATCCATCCGAATCGTTCGCCTTTGAGGAAACAAATGGCACAGGCCATGCCTATGCGCTATGCATGGTTGCATTTATATAGACTGTACGTCGGCATTATCGTACTAGGCAAACATTTGGATTTAATTATACTTGCAGATACACCGTTTGGAAGTCTCTGGATTGAAAAAGGTGTGGTAGTTCGAAGGAAGTAGGGTCCTCCGGACGCTTCGTACATTATTGGCCAGCTGATCCTCATTTCGGTATCTGGCTCCAGAGAAAATGGCTTGGAGATGAGCAGCCTCCGAGGAGCGGGGATACCCGTTCACGTACACTGGCGCAACAGGTGATTGCAATGTATTGGAAACAATGAGCATCAGGCTTACATTTCAAATGTGCTGGAAGGGTTTGCCCCCAACGTGATACTGGCACAACTCAGCTCGGGCAGGCCGGGATACAACGACAAACAAACCTCGAAATGACTCTGAACTAAACTATAGCAACGTTAGTCATATTTGCCGACAACCTGCGGAAGGAAAAGCAAGCGCACCAGTACCACAACGTGTTCGAACAGTTAACTACACCTGGCTCGCGAAGAACAGTCCTGATTAAAAACATGCCCGGTTTCGTACAATCAATGCTTTCAAAGACTTAGCAACCAACAACTCAGCAGCACAGAGGCAACGTGATCGGTTATCTCGGCCCTGCAGGGCTGATCAGAATGGTAAAGAATCCTGAAGAGGCCCTGCAAACATTATCCAAACTGCTCCATACGATGATTCAGTAACGGACAAATAGAGCTCACCACACGGATCCAAGCTTACTGTTGGCCATCCTACAAGTCTTTCTTTCCCGGTATGACTTTACAGCTCGTGCAGTGGCGGCCGGTGATCAACTTTACTACCATCCACGGCCAGAACCCAACGTCATCGGCTAATATCAAGTTCGGGACAACGGTGTAGCTAAGGTTTTCCTTGCAAAGCTGGGAGAGAAACCTCAGTCCTAGTTGAATAAAGAGGGGGTTCATGTATTCTTCATGGTGTATCTCAGTCAATCAACATAACAATGCGTGGAATAAGCGCATTTTGCTATTACAACACAAAAAGAATCCGGCCCTTGACTTCTCATTCCCTTGCATGAGCAAGTTTAATGCTTCTGCATTGCTGTCCAACCCTTTTCCCAAGGCACTACTGTAAGTAAACATGTAGCTGAACGCAAGGATGCGAAAATGGGAAGGCTACAAGAGCATAAAGGAGTAGGAATGGCTTATCACTAGAACCACCCACCCCCAATGCAGCTAGCCATGCTTCTCTTAGTTGTCGCCCGTCTGAGCTGTAACTAGATGTTGGGATCATTCACACAAAACTCCACAGCCACACGAGCGATTTTGTCCATGGAACCAGCATCGTCAGGGTGGGCTCCCCCCCACTGGCAATGACATGAGCCCTTCATTGCTTTAGACCACAGCATGCGTCTTCCACCACCCACCAATCTGAGGCCTCTCTGGCAGGAGACAGTGTCGAGAAGCTGTGACAAGACGAACGCAGACCCAAAGGAAAGCATCCACACCGATGCCAACACCAGTGCGTGGTTGAACAATCAAGACCCGATGTCTTATTACGTTCATATGTACTTCAATCACCGGGCCTCTTGGGGACACCGCCTTTTTCTATGTCACAGTCGACAGCCACAGCGCACCCAGTATGTCGAGCCTTGATTCACGTAAGAACTCATGATGTAACTTCCTCCATACTATACGTTCGGTGCCTAAAATTTGCGTTGTCTGCTTATCAATTTGCTCGAAAACGACTCTGTAAGTAATCTGTTTATGAGACGAAACAATGAAATCTTATCCCAGCTACGTAGAATACAATAGGCTATTTATCCTTGTCTTATGACTGGAACATTAAATGAGGCTTTATAAGTGCTTGTTACTGTCATATGCCGTCACAAATATCGTCACAACGTCACGGAGTACGCAAACCTGACCCAGCGACCTTACCACTTCCTTCAGATCACTGTCTAAATTGCATAACTATTGCAGCTTCCCTTCTTTAATCTCTGTATGTTCGGTGTCACCAGAAAACCTTCCCCACACTTTCAAACTATATGTTAAATCACAAAAATGGTAAACATTCGCATTCAAAAGCTGAGCATGTACTCCAGCGGAAGGCCGGGCAGCGGCCCGAATGTGGGCCCACTATCTTTGACGTCCGCACCGGGCTCCGACCGGAGCCTGAGCGCATCGGCATGGCAATATTAACAACACGCTGCACTCACCCGACTTCCACCCGGACAGTGCCCTTTTGGTCGTATTCGCAAACGGCACAGACCTACAGCTCGCTTTCCTTTGGCCCCTTGCCCCCGTCTGACGGGTTCGGCAATTCACCGCAGTCCTGGCATGCAGCGCCGCCTGGACCTCCCGACCGAAACCGCCCGATCGGTGCACCGTGCTCTCTCAACCCCCCGAAA